CGGACGAGACCAGGGCGCTTGAATCCCTGTCAAAGGAGCCACCTGAAGAGACATTGAAGATGGAGCTGTGGAGAAGGTTGGTGGATATGAATGATGCCGAGTGAGTGATTACTGGTTAAGCAAGAATTGAACTAAGGCATTGAAAGCGACAAGGTCAAGGAAATTATGGGTGCTGACATTGTGCTCATGCCGTCCGTCAATGATCCCGACTATGAGGGAGTGATGAAGCGGCTCCGAAGGAACGAAGCCGACCGTCGACGTGCACTAGACCGGCAGGAAAGATGCATCATATCTGTGGAGGATTTAGAGCGGAGGTTGGACATTGGGGCTGGTGAACGATGGATGCCAGGCACCGTGCAGTGGTTGGAGATAGAGGAGCTTGTTCGGGAGCATCAGTACCGAAAGTCTTTGGATAGACTGCAGGCATTAATTGTGTCCCGGATTCTGCAACTATCGAAGGCAAATATGGTGGAGACTGGTAAGTGGTCGGGTGTCAGAAGTCTCCATTAATGACCCTATATCACAGGTTATAAAATGCGTCGGCATATTGCACAGGCAATACAAGCTGGATCGCAGACGCTCGAAGGGCTCTAGAAGCCTACAATTCAGCTGCCCAGGACCTGGGAGACCGGCCAATGCTTACATGGCTGGAAATATTCGACATGGAGATGCTAGATGATTTCGACCTCCTACGGCTTGCACGAGAAGATATTCGTGAGGCACCATGGGCTCAGCCTGGAGCTCGAACGGCAATGGACCTCAACTTTAAACTGGACAGGGCAGAAGAAGAGCGAAGGAGGCTGGACACTGAGATCAAGCGGTTTGTAACCTGGATGAAGGAGGAGAAGGAATTCCTCCGGCACCATGAAAGAACGGCTGAAGAAGGAAGGAAATTTGGCAAGAGCCCTACAGGTTACAAAGTATCGGATGCTACAGGGAAGATTCTATGGCATTCACCAGCAAAGACTGCTCAAGTTGAGTAAACTGCCAGGGTTTACTGGTTCAATTGAGCCCGGGATCGGAGTTTGTCCAATTCGAAGGTCGGTGGTGGAAGAAGATAGTGGTCCAGAGAGGGAGCAGGATATAGACAGGGCATTGGCAGAGTCTGCAAGAGAGGAAAGGGTGACCAATGGAGGTGATGATGGGGATGCAGAGGAAGTTAATGATGAGAGTGATGATGAGGGGGAGGCCACGGACAGATTTGAGGCACTGCTAAGGGTAGCAGAGGATAAAGATGTAGAATAAGTTGTAGAGAGATATTGTCCACTAACATCATGGATAGTAAGCACAAGTGAGATAAGGTCCACTAACTCCCAGCCCCGGGAAGTTAGTGGACATCTGCTCAGTTGTATATTGGGTGATGTCCACTAACTTCCAGCCTCGGGAAGTTAGTGGACATCGACTTAGTTGGGATACTGCATTACGGTAAGACACAGTACCTGCCAATACTTCACCGTAGATACCATATGAAGCATATAAAAGGGTATACTGGCCACACTGACAGTATTGAATAGAGGTGATGTCCACTAACTCCCAGCCTAGGGAAGTTAGTGGACATCTCCTAAGTTGGGATACCACAGTAGGGTGAGGGATGGTACCTGTCAATACTTCACCGTAGATACCGTCTGAAGCATATAAAAGGGTATACTGGCCACAGTGATGATGTTGTATATTGGGTGATGTCCACTAACTCCCAGCCTCGGGAAGTTAGTGGACATCGACTTAGTTGGGATACTGCATTACGGTAAGACACAGTACCTGCCAATACTTCACCGTAGATACCATATGAAGCATATAAAAGGGTATACTGGCCACACTGACAGTATTGAATAGAGGTGATGTCCACTAACTCCCAGCCTAGGGAAGTTAGTGGACATCTCCTAAGTTGGGATACCACAGTAGGGTGAGGGATGGTACCTGTCAATACTTCACCGTAGATACCGTCTGAAGCATATAAGAGGGTATACTGGCCACAGTGATGATGTTGTATATTGGGTGATGTCCACTAACTCCCAGCCTAGGGAAGTTAGTGGACATCTCCTCAGTTGGGATACCACAGTATGGTGAGGGATGATACCTGTCAATACTTCACCGTAGATACCATATGAAGCATATAAGAGGGTATACTGGCCACACTGATGATGTTGTATATTGGTGATGTCCACTAACTCCCAGCCTAGGGAAGTTAGTGGACATCGACTTAGTTGGGATACTGCATTACAGTAAGACACAGTACCTGTCAATACTTCACCGTAGATACCGTCTGAAGCATATAAGAGGGTATACTGGCCACACTAATGATGTTGTATATGGGGTGATGTCCACTAACTTCCAGCCTAGGGAAGTTAGTGGACATCTCCTCAGTTGGGATACCACAGTATGGTGAGGGATGATACCTGTCAATGCTTCACCGTACATGCCATATGAAGCATATAAAAGGGTATACTGGCCACAGTGATGATGTTGTATATTGAGTGATGTCCACTAACTCCCAGCCTAAGGAAGTTAGTGGACATCTCCTCAGTTGGGATACCACAGTATGGTGAGGGATGATACCTGTCAATACTTCACCGTAGATACCATATGAAGCATATAAGAGGGTATACTGGCCACACCTGATGATGTTGTATATTGGTGATGTCCACTAACTCCCAGCCTAGGGAAGTTAGTGGACATCTCCTCAGTTGAGATACCACAGTATGGTGAGGGATGATACCTGTCAATACTTCACCGTAGATACCATATGAAGCATATAAGAGGGTATACTGGCCACACTGATGATGTTGTATATTGGGTGGTGTCCACTAACTTCCAGCCAGGGGAAGTTAGTGGACATCGACTTAGTTGGGATACTGCATTACGGTAAGACACAGTACCTGCCAATACCTTACCGTAGATACCGTCTGAAGCATATAAGAGGGTATATCAGTCACACTGATGATGTTGTATATATTGGGTGATGTCCACTAACTCCCAGCCTAGGGAAGTTAGTGGACATCTCCTCAGTTGGGATACCACAGTATGATGAGGGATGGTACCTGCCAATACTCCACCGTAGATACCGTCTGAAGCATATAAGAGGGTATATCAGTCACACTGATGATGTTGTATATGGGTGATGTCCACTAACTTCCAGCCTAGGGAAGTTAGTGGACATCTACTCAGTTGGGATACTGCAGTACAGTAAGACACAACATACCACATGAACCATGTAGCCCAACTCCCCTCCTACAGATCGTCAGCAGGGTGCACCTAATCTGCCCACTGATCTCCTCTAATTAGAGAGGGAAGAGGGAGGTGTCATAACATAATTCATATATAATATCTGTTACAGCTCATGCACATAATGCTCCTGTTCAGTTAAATGCAAGTGGTTACCCACTTCCTGGGGTTGTAAGTTAGTGGACAAATGTCTCATCACCAAATCAAACTGCCTATATCTCAACAACCATGGCACCTATTGACCTGGCACTTCTACCCATGTGAATTTCAAGGCAAACAGAGCAACTTTCGTTTTTTGATGCGCCATCATGGCGGGACAGTGAGCGGCACAAGCGGGCACATCGAGGTCAGCAATAATCAACCATTTGATGGGATGTGATGCGACTATGGACGACGGTGACCGACGCGTGTCAGACAACGATCACATCCTGTCATCAGTCACGCTCCCCAATGCTCAATGAGCCTACAGTCCACTAACTCACCTCTAAAACACCGTTGTCCACTAACATCTATAAGGAATTCTAAGGAATCATAGGCAATCGCAATAAACCCCTCTAGTTAGAGGCTAGACCCCCCCCCCCCCTTCCCTCTCTAATTAGAGGAGATCAGTGGGCAGATTAGGTGAGCACAGCACAAACTTCCAGACGAATTGTATCGTACTTGTAAGTTGTCAGGAGTCAGGACGGTTTGTTGACTAGCATGCTCAGTATCTTGCTGTTGTGAAGCTTTTCCCAGGTGAAGCATAGCACAACCTTCAAGATGAATTGTATCGTACTTGTCAGGACGGTTTGTTGACTAGCATGTGACCGTGTCACCGTGATTCCTCCTGACTCAGCGTCTTGCTCAAGTCTTGCTTTGTATCTTCAATTGCAATGCCGCAAGCTTCTTTTCCCTACACAAACGCTCTTCCTCCAACTCCAATCTGCAACCCTCTGCAACCGGACTACATATACGATAGAGCACTGTGCACACACTGACACCGGTGACAGCTCGTGCCAGTGGTCGTCATCCAGTGTAGGTTTCCCGGATCCGCAGCCTCGATTTCTACATCATCTGTCCAGGCCAAGTTCCACGAACATCACTGTAGCTTCATGGACAGTTCGACAGACCTCGTGTTGTTCTCCGCAGTACAAAAACTTTGGCTCCAGTCCTCGCGCCGTGCTAAAAGTCGATGGAAGTAACCCCACCGCCACCGGAAATCCCACGAGAATTGCCTCTGTAAGGAAGCGCTTTGACAAACGTGAGGACAATGTTCGAATTCGGGGTCGCGATTCAAGATCACAGCCGACAAGAGGGCGGAGACAGTGCGGGGGGGCTGGTTGGGGCGAGGCTGGGAGTGGAAAACTCTTTGTTCCGCGTCGCAACGAGGCACGCATGGAGGTTCTTTAGACGCCGAGATGACCGCATACATTTGGAGGTGGGTTGTGACGAGTGACGAGTGACACTCGTGTTTGTTTCCGGACAACCACTACAGACAACAACCACAGCGCGTGTTTTCTCACCAAATCGATTCAAGTGACATGCCGCCCCGCGCTACTGGGCAATGGGCAGGAGGCCGCGGTCGCGGTCGCGGTGGTGGTGGGGGGAGGAGGCAGGGGTGGTGGCGCGGCGGCCCCACTGCAGCAACCAGGCTTGTTTCCCTTTCAATGGTCTCCTTTATATTCTCATTTTATGCGTAGCTGCCCATCTTACTACTGTTGGTGTTCGCCGCAGTGGGTACGGCACCGCTGGGCGCCCGTTGGAGGTCATAATCAATGCTCTTCCCGCCACAATCCCCGATGGAAACATTTATCATTACGATGGTACGCTTTCTCTTCACTGAAAACTTACATCCCGCTAACAATCCCTAGTCGGTGCGTACTTTGAGCTGTGCGGCACCCTTTGTACTTTCTGACTACTCGTTTTTACGCGCAGCCATCACACCAGACAATCTTCCGACCACCTTGAACACAAAGCTAATCCGACACCTACAGGACGCAGTTGCGCGTGGTATCTTTGCTGAAGCTCGTGCCGTTTACGATGGCAAGAAAAACCTCTACTCCTCGGTTAAACTCAACTTGGGACCGACGGATACAGCGACAGTACGATCTGCTTTCTCCGCATACCGTCCTTTGACTCAATATGCTACCAGTTCGATGTCCCCGCGCCAGATCGTCCTGCTCGAGGAGATCGTCCCCCAAGGCTATATGCAATCAAGATCGCACTGGTCAATACGATCGGGACGGAGTAGGCTTTCTGTTCGTTTGTAATGTCGCACCTTACTGACGCGATTCGTAGATTGCTTCATCGCTTTGTCGAGGGGAAACAATCGGAGGACGATAGAATCAAGACTGCGCTACAAGTACAACACGATTGATAACCCGGGCGAAGCTAATTCTCTTGTAGGCACTCAACATCGTCATCAAGATGGCACCGTCCCTCTTGTACCCAACCAAGGGACGCTCGTTCTTTACTTCCGCGGGGGCCAGACCCATTGGCGCAGGTCTTGTCTTGTGGCGAGGCTACTTTCAGTCGTTTCGACCTACACTAGGCAAGATGCTCGTCAACGTCGATATCTCAACGGGTGTCATGTACCGCGACGGCCCCTTGATTAACCTATGCCTTGAAAACATAGGACAGAGTGACCCTGGTCGGCTTAACGCTGCTATGCCAGATCGCATCCGTCTGAAGCTCCAACGCTTCCTGGTCGGTGTTCGAGTTGCAGTAAAGCCTGCCGATGGTGCAGGAGAAGAACGCGTTTACTCGATCAAGAGACTCAGTCGGCGGGGAGCAAACGAAGAGTCGTTCAGCACACGTGACGGAAAGACACTCACCGTCGCCAACTACTATCGCCAGATGGCCAATAATCGCCCGCTCGAGCGCCCGGCGCTGCTTTGTGTTGAGGTAAGCCGTTTGATCGTGTGTCCTGTGCATGTCATTGATATTATTCCGAATCGCTAGGTTGGCCAAGGCGCTCTCATTCCACTGGAGCGCTGCAGAGTGCTGCCCGGACAGCTGTTCAAGAAAGAGTTCCCGGACGAGAAGCGCACAGATATGGTGGAGTTTTCGACCCAGAAGCCCAAGGAGCGCTTCACCAGCATCCGCAACAGTCTCCAAGTGAGTAGCATCGTCATTATTTGCCATATCGCCTAAGGTTGCTGCAGGTGTTGCAATATGGACAATCTGACTACGTCCGCAAGTTTGGCGTCACCATCGGCACCGAGCTGATTAAATCGACTGCCCGGATCATCCAAGCTCCCAGGCTCAAGTATGGGGGAGCCGGCGGTGGTACGACTGTTGTGAGTTTCTAAAACTATGCCTCCACTATTGTTTTCAAGATATTGTAGGATGTGCGAGGAGGTACATGGAACATGTGCGTCTTTTCGTTTTCCTCAGTCCATGCCATGCTGACGGTCGTATATTACAGGGCAGATAAGAAATTCCATCGGCCAGCCGAAATTTCGTATTGGGTGCTCGTGACCCTTGACCCGCGTTTCCCCGAGCCCGCTCTGCAGCAAGTTGCCACTGACCTTGTCAGAGGTTGCCGCGCAACAGGTATGTTTACGTCCAAACTCATTTCCGGTGTTGTTCATCGTTGTCAGGCATGACTGTGAGGGACCCCAATCCCATCGTCCGTCGGATTAATCCTCAGGAAAACATTATGAATGTGAGGCTACAAAATTCTGTTGCGCTTTATACTCTTATTAAGATATTTTTCACTTGTAGGCATTGACAGCGGCCGGCGGCGACTGTGCGAATGCCCCAAACAAGGGACCACCAGTCTTGTTTGTGATTATCCTACCGGACCTGGGCAATGCGGACTTGTACAACATTGTCAAACAGTAGGTCTCAATGCTTCGTGCTGGTTCTGGTACTCATTGCTGTCCTTCCTAGTTGGGGTGATGTCCGCGTATGTGCTGCTTACCTCCAAAGTCACCGCCGAACTGATCAGACATGGTGATTTCAGCAAGGCGTTGCAACACAATGCCTCAAGTCCAAGAAGTGCAGCCGCGCAAATGCGCAGTACTGGGCAAATGTTGCATTGAAGTGGGTTCTGTGTTCTTGTTGACTGACCTGTCTCACCTATCCATTAGAATCAACGTTAAACGCGGCGGTATCAACGTCATTACTGACCCCAGCCAGGTTGCGACTCTGGGCGACCCGCGCCAGCCGACAGTGATCATTGGTGCTGACGTTATGCATCCGCCGTATGTCGACTGCTCCTTTGCATTCAATGTGCTCTGAGACGCACTTCGTTAGACCTGGCGCTCTCGACCGACCGTCCTTCGCGGCGGTTGTCTCTAGCGTGGATACAAACTCCGCAAAATACGTAGCCACAATGGGCATCCAACCGGGACGGCAAGAGCTTATACAGTCACTCGGAAGTATGACGAAAGTGCGCAATTTTCCTTACTAATTCCAGTTTCCTTGGATAAACCGATGATTAGGAGATGCTCGAGAGCTACATGGGCTACCGGACGGCCGTCGAGAAGGCTCTTTCGGCAGCCCCACAGCGACTTATCTTCTACCGCGGTCTGTGCTCCGAGTCGTTCTCCCCCTCTTTCGTAGCTGATTGAGATGAAAAGATGGTGTGTCTGAAGGCCAGTTCGCCCAAGTTCTTGCTGAAGGTTGGTTTGCTGCTGCAACTTTATCTTCTTATGCTTATCCTCCTCACACAGAACTGCCGTTGATCAGGGGTACGACTTCTACATGCCAGTGCCGCTCACTGAACGCTATTCAGCTGCCTGCGCCGAACTTAAAATCAATCCCAAGATCACTTTGATTATTGTTGGGAAGCGGCACCACTTCCGGTACGTGCTCGCTCCTGGTAATGCTGTTCTATTCATTGTCGCTGCAGCTTTTTACCCGCGAGAGACAATGATGCGGACCGCAGCGGGAACTGTCCAGCCGGGACGGTCGTGGACCGTGATATTGGCCATCCGCTGGAGCTGGACTTCTACCTGCAGAGCCATGCGGGATTGCTGGGGACTAGTAGGCCTTCCCATTATTCAGTATGCTTGCTTTTTCTACCCCATTCTCTGCGCTGATTGCAACCAGGTGCTTCACGATGTCAGTTCTTTTTCGTCTTCGCTTCGAGCTGACTGACGGGTCGGCCAGGAAAACAACTTTTCGTGGGTCAATGCTGTTTTCTTTCCTCTCAATCTAATGGTGTCTAGGCCTGACGCTCTTCAATCGCTTTCATTCGCGCTCTGCCATGTTTACGCGCGCGCCACGCGCTCGGTCTCTATCCCAGCACCCGTTTATTGTCCGTTTACTCAACCTTGCCCTGTCTTGCCCTCATAATCTCCACAGACGCCGACATCGTCTGCTCGCGTGCGAAACACCGCTTCAACCCTCTTGCGGGAAGTGAGACCCACACGGCGACGACCGACCCCGAGCAGGCGTATCAGGCGCTCGAAGCCGAGTTTCAGCAGATTCACCCCAGGCAGAAGAACTTGATGTATTTCTCGGTGGGTTTGCGCTCACTTGTGTGGATGATGCTGATACTGTTTGGTTAGTGAGGTGAACTGTGTTGCGCTGCCATCGTCCTGCTGTCTTGAAATGAACCTGCTGTTATGCTTACAACTTGTATCATTTTGCTATCGTGCTTATGTCGAATTGAAAAATGCTCTCAAGTGTGCGAAATGCAAGAAAAACATTTGTTTGAATCACATTTTTATTCTGCGGGTAAGGTATGCCACTGCTGCTAAGGTGCGAGACGCTCGCGAGAGCAGCCGCCATGTCTCCAGCAAAGCCTTTCCCCTGGGATATTAGGAGTCGAGGGTTCTTCCGTGACCGTGACTTGACCGTGACTGAATTTGTCATCCGCTATCTTTCCCTCTCCCATGTCGTCGACTTCAAAACCAGGCGTCATGCGGTTCTTAAGGTGACTAACCACTCCCAACTAATACTCCCGTGCAGCTCTTATCATGTTTCTAAAGGGTTTCTGCCACGGCCGTGGGATAGGCCAAACGGCGAAAGACAATCATGGCCTCTCCTTCCAAACTCTTCCAACCTACGCGAATTGGGGACATCGAGCTCTCCAATCGAGTCGTTTTTGCTCCGGCGACAAGACTGCGGGCGGATTCCGACCATGTTGTTCTCCCTCACGTTGCGGAATACTACGAGCAGCGGGCGAGCGTGGCGGGGACTCTCCTCATTTCAGAGGCGACGTTTATTGCTGCGCGAGCGGGTGGACATAGGAATGCACCAGGGATATGGTCGGAAGAGCAGATTGCGGCTTGGAAAAAGGTGTTGTTGTGGCTGTCTTTTTTTCCTCCGCCTTGAAGCTAACGACAACAAACAAGGTTACCGCCAGAATCCACGCAAAAGGCTCTTTCATCTACCTCCAACTCTGGGCTGTCGGTCGTGATGCCGATCCTGCCGTTCTAGCTGAAGAAGGCGGCTTTCCTTACGTTTCTGCCTCGAATATCCGCCATAAGGACCGAAATCAAGTGCCGCGGCCACTCAGGGTCGAAGAACTCCAAGAATACCTCCGGCTGTATGCTGTGGCTGCTTCAAATGCAGTAGAAAAAGCTGGCTTTGACGGTGTCGAAATCCACGCCGCCAACGGATACCTCCTCGACCAATTCCTTCATGAAAGCACTAACGACCGCGTTGACGAATATGGTGGAGAATTGGTGCAGAACAGAGCAAGGTTTCCGTTGGAGGTTGTGGATGCAGTCGTGAACGCAGTAGGACAGCGCAAAACTGGCTTTCGCATCAGTCCTTGGGGCACATATAACGGTATGCGCTAACTATCGCTTCCTTTGTACCGCTTACCAAGTTCTCAGACATGACCAACGACAATCCAAAACCGACATACACCTACCTCGTCGCTGAACTCGGCCGTCGCTTTCCTGAGCTTGCCTATCTCCACATTGTCGAACCGCGCGTGGACGGCAGCAGAACGCTCGACTTCGTCAAGGAGGGCCATTCCAACGACTTTCTCCGTGCCATCTGGGGAGACCGGCCGCTCATCAGTGCCGGAGGCTACACCCGCGAAAGCGCAATGGAGGCTGCCGAGAAGGGGGACTTGGTTGCATTCGCGAGGCTCTTCATCGCCAATGTGGGTTCTTCATTCTATCCTGTTATTGCCTGGGTCGACCAATTCATAGCCCGATTTGCCTTGGCGGTTGATGCACGACTTTCCTTTGACTTTGGGGAATCGAGCGTTTTATTACGCTCCTGGGAGCAGCGATCCGACAGGGTACACAGATTACTCGTCCTACACCTCAAAAGCATAGCTACAATTTAATAAACACATCGACGGAAAGATATGGCATTGCGCAGCGTTTCCATTGACCAGGGAGCATGATCAGACGAGAGCTAGCGAGCATTCCGCTCGCTCTAGAGATTCTCGACGATGATTTAAATGAGTTGAGCAGGACGTACTATTAGCGTGACATAGCAAGATATATGATTTACAGTCAACCTTCACCTCTACTTACGACGGCCTTCCGCCTTCCGCCCTTCAAGTTCGAGAGCCATGCGGGGTAACCCGACCGTCCGAGTCTTCCCTTGCCCTTACCGTGACACCTGACCTGGACACGACTCAGTCCAACCGCCCAGAGAGGTGCACAACGGCCAGCGGTACCAAAACCTGGCCGATTATCTGGACAATGCCAGCTGACAGTTTGGCCACCGTTCCGCGACACGGTTCTAGGCAAGTAAATGTGCTAAGTGTTTTCTATGGTTGATGGCTACTTTGTACAAGTATCCTTCAAGCTTGCCGAACTCTCACCGTGAACCTCTGAGTCATCCTTGGCCTCGGCGTTGCCTTTGCTTCCCTCCTCAGGCTGCCAGCCATTGTGTTCAACCATAGCGCCATCGCACTCGATGTCGGTTAGCATGCGCTCTAGAGCTTGCATGATACCCCCCTCGCTGATGTACATGCCGTTGAGGCGACAGAAAGCTGCTCCCAACTCGATGACTTTATCGAGACTGGTCAGCAATCCTGTTCTGGTCGATGTTAGAGCGGTTCTGTGCGGGCGAATGGAGTGACACACTGTTCTGCCTGGGCACGACGTGGATCATCCTTAGAGGGAACACGCCTGTCGAAACTGAGGAGCCTCCACTCCCAGCGCTCCATCAGCTCCTCTCGGTCCAATGCGTCCAGTGCTATGGTGATTAGATAAGTGGAATTCAAGTCGAAGCGAGGAGCGAATCTCACGCATATCGCCGTCATAGATTACTATAATCGTGTAGGACGGCATCTGAACTGGTGGGTGACTTGCAGGCAACCCTTGCTGACACCATTAAATAGAGTCTCCATCTGTGGACACAGCCTGCGTGGGTATGGGAAGCTAGATGACAAGACTCGGATCGCACAGGTTGTCTAAAGAACCTCGATTTAAGTTCCCATAACCCGGCCTGAGTTATAGTGACTGCAACACAGTGTATCGGGCGATTGTCATCGTGCAATTATGGGTCGTGCTTCCCATGCTTCACGGTGCACGCAGCACGGTGCACACACGTTAACGTTGCGAAGCCTGCCTGCAGTCGTCAGAACAGTATTTACACGCGTTGGTAGGTCTACAAACCAAACCCAAGTTACCCAAAGATGGAGGCCCAACTAAACGAAGCCCAATACAAGCAAGAGCCCATCTACGTGCAGCTTGACGCCCTGAACCAGGCCCTACAAGCATTTGGCCTCAGGCTCGAGCTGAAAGAAGAACGTGAGTAATCCTCCAAAGTGTCCTCTATCTGTCTGACCACCACCGTATCACAGCACTGAACCGTGAAGATGTCTGGCGTGGCATGCTTGGCATCTACAATGGCTTCAACTTCAGAGTGCCCGAGGAAGACGAGCGCAGGGTGGAAGCAAAAAGGTGCGTGCCTGCATGGCCATCACAGCCTTGAAGTGTCTCAACTTCCACCAGGAAAGGCCTCTTGAGCCTGAGGGAGACAATCAAAGCCGGAACGGCGTATTGCCGCGAGCGGGGCCTGCGTGTAACGGTGGCTGGTGTACTTCAGGCGTACTTGTATAGTCTAACCCGCGTCGAGTTTGGCGACAGCCCTCCACCAAGGTGTGATTATGAAGATGGCGGCAGCGACTGCAATGACTGCGACGATGACAGTAGCGATGATGAAGAAGCCAGCGGAGAAGATGGAGAGGGGAAGGGAGATGACGATGATGATGAAGAGGTACAGGCTAATAATGAAGAGAGTGGGGAAGAGAGCGAGGAGGAAGAGGACAGTGATCTGGATTGACAAGGGTGAGGGTGAATGGTAGCTAAACCAGAAATGTCAGAGAATTTGACGAAGGGATTTGAGAATTTGACGAAGGGATTTGAGGTTGGTGGATAATGTGGAAAGGCGTGGCTGCGGTGGATATGGCAATCAGCTCGGGACTCTTTATTGAAGCCGAAGAATATAAACATTTCGCTCTGCTTATCTCGAGTAACTAGCTTGTTTCGCCTCTTCAAAGAAGCGACCTAGGAATGCAATGAAGTCAGTGGTCGAAAGAGACGCTGGCGATAACTCACGTATCATGAGCCCGAGACCTTTAAACAATTCCCTCGCTCGATGAGGGCGCGAATTCCTTTACCACTACCCAAAAGTCTTCTTCTGTTCTTATGTGCTAAAGCTGAAAGTGGAAAGTAAGCGAAAGACGACGGTCTATCGGATATTCAACATGGAGGTAGGCACGCACGGCAATACTCTATTTTATGGGTGGTAATGTTGCCCAGAAGAGTTGTCGAATGACGCAGCAAGATCGACTCTTGTCTGCTCGAAAAGCAGAACGACTAGAGCGACAACACACTGGAGTAACCATATCAGCTTCATGTTACTACAAGAAACACATTCACTTAGCGTGCTCAGACGCTGCATGCGAGAAGGCGTAGTGGGAGGAAAAGAAAGAGTTAGGAGGAAGATCATCGTTTGCCCACTTTCAGGTGCGCTTGGTAGCTGCAACAGAACGGCGGGTTGCGGCTTTGGTCATGTCGACAGTGTCTTGGTATGGTGACGGGACTTGAACTAACAGCCAACCGAATGTCAGACTTGACGACGTTAGAGAAAGAGAGAGGGGCGTGACCTAACCTTCGTGCTCCCAACTTCCACCTGCGAATTATCCCTACACAACCACAACGCAAGCAAGACGGCGAGGAGGGCAAGGCACATGGACGGATGAGAGAGAGATTGGATATGTGGCATGGTTATGGTGCGTTTTCACTAATTCTCGAAGAGTGTTTCTCAGATTGACGAAACTCAGACGCTTAGTGGTTTCCTGCGGCAATGAAAGAAGGATATTCCCCTCGTCGTAAGTCTCATTGAATACTCGGAGAGCGGCTGCTGTGGGGTGGGATCGTTTCAAGCACAACCGGCAACGCAAGGAATACGATCAAGCAATGGATGCTGCCGCGGGCTGCTCGTTCTCCGTCACTGAGATACAAGGTCCAGCATCGAGCGAAGACAAAACTGGACCAGGTCATGGCGATTTCCACTGGTATCCCCCTCTGGCACAATGCAGACCCTAACGGCACTCATTCCGAAATTCGCTGACGACGACAACTTCCTACACTATAATTTGCTACACGCCCACTCTCCCATCCTCGCAACGCATGCAGTCTCATATCGCAACACCCGATAGCAGCACATCTTCCCATGAACTAGAGCGATTCGACTCGTTGTTTCTGTAAAAGTCTTCAAGCGAAAAAACATCTGCTGACCAGACACGCCAAAGACGTCTTGAACCCCACTCGACGTTCTAACAACCTCTTCCCACTTCTTTCCGACTTCAAATTCCTCACAACGACCACCTTTTCGCGTTGTTTTCCTCGACCATGACCCATCACTCGCTTTCGCGCCTCATTTAGCCGGCTCATAACTCGACATACCCACCGTCGGAGGGCTAATCGTCTAGACCTTAGTCTGCGCAGACATATAATGCCCCTACACAACTTTTACCGCCCGTGGTTTCGCTAGACAAGGTCGTCTTGCGACCCGATCTTGCCTGATGATTCCTCCCCCATCTGCGCCTTTTTTGCTGCAGTGATGTACACAAACGGCAGGCATCTGGTGCAAGAATACAACTTAACGGTCGTGTTTCTACCGTCTCCCGAGCCAGCGACGGCGGGAGAATCATCGGGGGGAGTCTATTTGGGCTGTCGTATCCGATATTGCGACCACCCTCCCTTGGTCGAGCAACTTGATTGCATTCCGGAGCCTCGACCGCATCTCTGGCTGTATCAAGGGGTACTCGACATATTCGATGACCACTTTGTCATGGAATAATGACACGATGGGTGGTCGTTATTGGCGAGTGGCCAGATGTCAATTCCGAAAGACAGACCCTCGATTGCTGGGTTTGAGATTGTGTTGGGATGTTCAGGCGAGGCTTGCGCACCGTGTGTCTTGTCCTTATTACTCATGGTCGCGCTGACATATTTCGTGGTTAGGCAACAAATGATAGGTTATTACTTTGAACCTTCATTTTTCACCTTGCGGCGCAGAGCTGCAATGCACGATGATATACAGGACTTTCCACATCCGAAAACTTGTCACAACGGCACTACTTCAAGTTGAGAAAAAACGTCATCAACGCTTACTTCGACATTTTCATACGGCTTGCACGATTGTTCTTATGCCGTTCGTTGATCGCTCCGCAACAAGCTGTGGCTTTGGACATAATAAGGCTATCGGGTGCAGGTATTGGGGGATTTTAGCGAAACGCAAGGTTGGCTCCGCTATCTTTCACGCTGCATTGCTGACTCTTCCGAAAAGGCTTGTGACTATGGACACGAGAGATCTCAAAGGGTAGCGAAGCATTTTACGCGCCTAGGTCTAGGTGCGTGCTTAGATTGAAGTTGTATTTCCTTGCTGACTCGTGTCAGCATATTGGGTAACAAGCTTCGAGTTGTGTAGAATCTCTGTATCGGATATTCTGCGACTCAAGCTGGCGCCTGAGCTGGTCTTCATTTTGACCAAGTGGCATGGTGGTAGTGATAACTCAACGAAAATGTGAATTCAACAAACTCCATACAGGATCCTGAATGCCGCAGCAGTGTTTACACTGTTTCATCGAGCTCGTCTACCTCTGACGGGGCACTGGCGGCAGGAGGAGGGTTCGACGGAATCTTGGAACATGAGTGTTTTCAATGCACATTATGGCTAACATTAAAAACCTTGATTTTGTGGCAACGGCGAGGATGGTGACTATTACATCGACATGGTCAATCCTCTGTCACTGCCCTAGGCCTTTCCCTTTTCCCTTACTCTTGCCTTTGCCCTCGTCATTGGGGCCAGCACTAGTGCTGTTACTGTTGTCCTTCCCTTTGCCGTTGCCCTCACTTTCAGTGTCCTCGCTCCCGTTGTCGTTGCCGTCATCATCAGACTCTTCCTCCGGTGGCAATTTCTTGAATTGGTATTTGTAATCGTCATCTGCTGGCCCATCCAAGGTTTCCGTGCTCCCTCTAGTACGAATCTCAGGGCGTTCAACGTCCGCCACCCTCTTCGAGAACGACAGAATGATGTTCTTCACGCTGACGGGGAAACCTTCTTTGTTGCAATGCATGATTCCGGCATCGACAACCTTGTTCACATTCAAGAGACCCTGACTAGCATCAAGTTAAGAACTACTTCGCGGCACGGCTCCGGATCCGAGGTATGAAGACGCACCGCTGAATCTCCTGGCGTCGCTCATCCGTAGGGGGAACCCTGGCATAGAAACGGCGTATCTTCTTCATCTTTTTCTTCACCGCTGTGCGGTCTACTGCAGCACGGTTTACTACAGCACGGTCCACTGCCAAAGCAGTCAGCCAGAGAGTTGGTAAAAATGAGGCATTCATGTTTCGTACCGTCGTTTCCACTGGCAAGTTGTAGCCCGATATCGACAGTGCCGCCCAGGCGCAGGAACTCAAATAGTTCCTCGATGTCATCCATCTTCTCTGTGTGGTCCACTGCAGCACGGTCCACTGCCACAGCAGTCAGCCAAAGAGTTGGTAAAAATGAGGCATTGATGTTCCGTACCTCGTCCCCAAGTTGTAGCTCGATATCAACAGTGCCGTCCTGGCGTAGGAAGTTGAATATTTTCACGATGTCATCCATTTTCTGGTACTGGGGGCTCAGGACCTTAGGTTCGCGCTTTTAAATGTCTTCCAGAGACCGCGTCACGGTGTCTTCGCAACGTGTGCGAAGCACCCTCATAGCCTCCGAGTCAGACACGCTTGATGAATCTACTAAACTACTAGCGAGCGCAGAGAGTCAAAGGTGGTATAACTCGCTCTCTGTTTACGAGTAGTTAGTTTCGGATAGAGCGAAAACAGATTTGGCCACACACATTGACGCATTGTTCATACCGTGGCCGATCTCCGAGTCCGGAGTCTCTCAAGTCTGTTACCAAGGGTGAAGCAACGTCGAACGGGCATTCGGGCGTTGTCGCGGAAGGAGTGGTCTCGAGCATAGTAAATCGCAAGTGAGTGAAGAATGAGGAAGTAGTGTTCTGCAGGGCCGGGCTTAAGCCCTGAGGCCCGGCCCAGCCCGGCCCTCCGGAGCCCGGCCCAGCCCGAGCCCTGCACCGGGCCTGGCAGGGCTCAGGGCTCGGGCTCAGCAGTTGGCAAGCCCTGAGCCCGGGGCTTCGGCCCTGTCAGGCCCGGTGCCTCGGCAAGCACGGTTGATGTGACTTTCTGTCACATCGGTGCTTGGTAATGACCTCCGGACAGGCCGGGACGGCGTTTGCATGGATCAATATTGATCAATCGCCACCTGCCGACTGCAGTGTCCATCGGATTCCTGCCCGCCGGTGTGTTGATGCGCGTGATGGCGCATCATCTGTGCTGGTTTCCCTTGGCCTGGGCTGTCCAATGGCTCAACATGGTGTCAGTAACTCACCAGTGGGTAAACTAGTTAGTATTGCATGATTTTACAACCATTGCATAGGTATATTGACCAAACAAACATGCCTTGCTGTCAGACAGGGCTTAAGCCCGAGCCCTGGGCTTGGCAGGGCTGGGCCGGGCTCAGGGCTCGGGCCTGGGGTGTCGACCGGCCCAAGCCCTGAAAGCCCGGCCCAAAACAGGGCCGGGCCCGGGTAGCCCGGCCCTGCAGAACACTATGAGGAAGAATGTAAAAAGTGAATTGCTGATTTGTCACCGGCTGTCACAAGATATATGGTTGTTCCTCTTCCACCAACCAACTAGTACTGATCGTACGCCTTCGAATTCAAGCCATGTATACCGCCGCGGGGGGGGATCTAGAGTTTAGACTGACATAAACGACTTGATTACTCTCACAAGCAACTTTGACAAACGACGATGCAAAAACAACACGTTACACAATTAGAACTCAAACGTCGGTTGGAGTCGATTCTCCATTCAACTTCCTGGAGGATGCTGGACTGGTCTGTCAATCCAGATCCTCCAATTTGGACCCAGCCGTCGACCTCGAAGTCACTCCCAACCCCGCCGAGTTGAACGCTGACTCCGAGCCTGGCTCAGGATAATGCACCAACGAGAAATCGGCAAACTTCCCGGACAACGCGAGCTTTGGCGCCTGGGAGCTCACGTCGGTGATCAGGAGCTGCTTTGACTCAAGCTTTCCGAGCTGCTGCGACATCTTGTACTTTTTCACCGAACTAAAGATTGTGAGTCATCACGATGTCGCGGGATGGCAAAGCCCTTACTTCGCTGTTGCACCAGAAACGACTGTAAAACTCCCTGACCACATGGTCAGCGCCGTGTCGTTAATCTTCTGCACCATCGTGACGTCTGCTTGGTGAATGAGGCTCAGGCTGAGCTTGCTCGACTTGTACGAGTTGCCTGGCGCAACAGCATGGTAGCCCGCGTCTTTGGCCGCCACATCAATCGCGCCTAAACTGGAACTTGCTCGTCAGAGTGTCAACAAATGGAGAACAAACTCACGCTACACCGGCCAACGACAATGTGAGCCCTGTTCCTCCCAATGCAAGAGTTGGTACCAGCGGCACAAATGCGACTCCGAGCAAGCCCCCGCTGACGGCGACGGCAACGACTCCAAGTATGCCGGTGACAATCGCTGCGATGTCGAGGCCGATGTGGTTCACGGCGTATTTGATGTATAGGACGTTGTTGGTGTCGTTGAGAGTGGAGGTGTAAGAACCCATAGTGAGTTGTGGCTTGTGTTGGCTGGGAGTCAAGGCGAATATTCGTACTTATACCTCCCCAGCTGGCCTTGTCGGAGAAACGCCCTAATAATCCTTATCTACAGAAGCAAGGCAGGCCCATCTGTCGGTCAGCGTCATGCGCTTTCCAGATTTCAAGACGACGACGAGCGAATGTATTCGAATGGACGACTGCGAATAAAAAAGTCAACTCACTTGCCAGTCCACTCTGGTCATTTCCAGGGACCACATGTGCTCTTTGCATGGCTAGAAGACTTCGGCAGGGTCTGACCCTGTTTTGATGGTACCGTGATGGGACATCGCATATCAAATTTTTTATCGGCCACTCAAGTCTATACGCTCTTATCATCCTAGGTGCGACTTATAAGCCAGACCTGCGTGCTACGAGCTGCATTGACCACACACACCATGGGGTCCTACGTCTCAATCCTGAACGACGCTCCCGTCAACCAATTCCAGGTTGATGTCTGGGTCAAATTCAGTACAACGCCACCCGTGTCGTCGACAGTGTTGTCGCTCGTCCCCAGTGCACCGGTGAGGTCTTTAAACTTTGTGTGCTTGTTTCTCACGCTCTACTAACAGGGCGTCGTCGCTGCGGTCCCTACTGTGAATAACACCCTCGGCACGGATACCGCTGTTATTATCGATTCCGATACAGCATTCGAAACCCTAGGCCTTGCCCCAGACAGCTCGAGTTTAGGCAACCTCCTGCAAGTACTTCTTTCTCGCGACTTCTGACGGCTAACATGTCCTTTAGGGCGAACGCAATCGGCGTGGCCTCTGTCGACGAAGGCTACACCAACATTCCGCGCGGGGACATGCTCCGGAGCGACCTTGTCGACGTCAACTCCACAGTCTATGTCAAATGGCACATGGTGGCCGTCAACAACCCCCAGACCGTCGTCCTCTTTGGCGGGGTCAAGACGCTGGTCAGCGCTAACGTGTCGAACGGGGACAACAGGTACATGTACTCCAGCTCCTTCCTGGCGCAGAGCGGGGTCGATACGCGGATCGTGAACCCGATTGTGTCCGGCAAGTTGCTACCATAAGCGCTGAAAACGAAGCTGATAAAAGAACAGGGGACGTCAGAGCGCCGCCTCTGGTCGCTCAGTACGAGTCGATGCTCCAAGGGCCAAACACCTCTGCTTTCACGGCCCCGAAGACATCGCTCAAGTCTCCGCGCTCTTTAATCGGGATGGAGGCATTGGATTAATGAATTATTGTTAACTTAAGTACCTCTTGAATCACAATTGTCCAACAATATCGGAGGGTCGCTGGGAACGAATCAGGCAATGAACTCAGTACTGCATATGAGTCACTCACCCGACAACAATCACACCGCTTATGCGCTCTACAGAGCTGGCCAAACATGAGTTCCAGTATTCCGCCGTGGCTTCGAGCACCTACCATGCTTCTAGCGTGAGTTTTCGGCAAACCGCGTAGCCATGATCGCCAGACGTTGGGAGGCGTAGATGGTGGGAGAAAGACCCAGAGCTCAACCGGTGCAAGGAACGCCGCAAGGCAGTCATCCAGCGCCCGCACTTCGGCCAAGTTTGGGTTAAGAGGCCGCGGCGGTGAATGTGCAGGCTCCCAAACCTGCGGGCGGGGCGTGAATTGGATCGTTTTGAGGACCCGGGAGGGATTTGCGAGTGTGGAGAGTATTTTGATGGCTGTTTGGATTGGCTCCGCGACGGCAGTGAACGACAGTCCCAGGAAAGTCAGGTTTGGGAGAGCGGCTAGATCAACAGTTCTTGACTCACGCGACCCGGAGGTCTCGGTGGGTAACATGAAGCCCGATGCTGGGCTCTATTCTGAGTGAGGAAAACAGAAGCATCGATGCTGGATATACGTACCGGAAGCCGCAGACGCAGTTCCCGAACAGCCGTGAAACTCGTCGCATAGAGCTGTTGTGTTGTAAAGTCGGTGTAGAACGTCGATATCGTCTTGAGCTTGGAGAAATCGAACCGCCAGCCCATGGCCGAGGAAAACTCGTCGAGACGTGGGGTGGACAGCGATTCCAGCGTGATTTGGTCCCGGTCTTCTGGGGCAGGTGCAGCCCTCAAGTTGCTCCCCCTCCCCGGCGAGTAGATGAACTCTAAATGGCGAATATCCGCGGCACAGTTTTCCCAAAGAGTGGCCAAGTTGTCGGCTTGGAGGTGACCCCATGAGAACGTAACGGCTTGAAGACGAGGCACGCTCAGCAATCCTCGCAGCGCGGCAAGGTAGCGCGGGGAAACATTTCCAGCGCCATTCGCAATGTTGAGTACCAGTGCTTCGACAGGGGCATTATGAGCATCAACATTATTGCTCAGGCTCTCGATGGCGTCCTCGAACGAAATGCCACCAGTCTCAGGCTGTTCATCGGGCTGCAAGAGATCCAGGGTGATTCGGAGTCGACGAACATGTAGTATGAGATGTGGACTAGAGTTCAGTGCCGAAGCGAGAAGTTTCCACTCTGGTGATGGCAGGCGAGTGTTGGCGGCAGCTGGAGAAAGCTCAATTGGATGCCGATTGGACAAATGGAGTGAGCGGAATAGATAGGCTTGGGTGGGGAAAGTCCAGGCGCGCGTAACGAGGGAACAGCGAATGAGGTCCTGTCGAGAGGTATGCAGCTCCCATAGAACAAGCTCGAGGAGTTCAGGAATAAGCAACGGGTGGTTCTCCATGAGAATTGGATGATGACGTAACTCGTTTCTGCTCGGCCGAAACTCGGTTGGATGACGTTGCCCAGCTGACATCGAAAATGGTTTGCTCCGCGTCCTTGCCTTCCCCTTCATGGCGTCCTCCGCAGACAGTCCACTTGCTGGGCACTTGGGCCACCTATCGCCAGAACAGGAAACCAAATTTTCCGAGTTCAAACTTGCCTGCACGAAGGAAGATTTGTACGCGCCTGGCAAAACGCGTCAATCTCTGGACGAAGCTGCCTTACTGTGTGTGGCCTATGCAACTGGAAAGCTTCTGCTGCTCATAACCACTCCAGTCGATTTCTTCGGGCCCGCAGATTTGAAGTACCTGATGCTCTGCATATGATACGCGAAACAGAGGCTTGGAGAACAGCCAACAAACTGGAGGAATTGTACGATACGTTGGATGTAAGCGCCTACGAGGATGCCAGGCGAGTGGTGCGCTATTCTTTTTGAATGATTATGCTCCATCTTATTCGTTACCAAGTACCACCAATGGACCGGCCGACGCGACTTGCTTGGTCGACCTGTTTATGTCTACGAGATCTCCCATCTGAAAAACAACATGTCTGCCTTCGAGCAGTCTTCCAAAATACTGCCTTCCAACCCCTCGTCTGGGGATGCCGCAACCAAGCCTATTCCAGGCAAGCTACGCGTGTTATTTGGGCTGTACGAGAACATGGCCGAGTTTGTTCTGCCACTTTGCACGGCCGTCAAGTCTCGGCCAGACCCCGAAACGCCAATAACATCGACAGCCCATATTGTTGATGTCAGTGGAGTCGGGCTAATGGGCTTTTGGAATCTAAAAAACCACATGCAAGCCGCTAGCACCCTTGCCAGCGCACATTACCCCGAAACACTCGACAGGGTTTATATCCTTGGTGCCCCGTCCTTCTTTCCGACCGTCTGGGGCTGGATAAAACGGTGGTTTGACCCTGGCACGACCTCCAAAATCCATGTCCTTTCCCAGACGGAGGTCGCCCCAACGCTACGTGCATTCATGGACCCAAAAGATCTACCAAAGAAATACGGTGGCGAGCTTGAGTGGGAGTATGGGATGCTCCCAAATCTGGACGGGGAAATTTTAAAAGCTGTGTCGGGGCTGAAAACGGGAGATGAGTGGGTGAAAGGCCCATTAAGATGGGTTCAAGACCAGGATGGTAGTGGGAAGGCCAAGGTAATTGCGAAGGGAATAATAGATGGAAAAAGCCGGAACGAGGAGGTTGGCGTTTATGAGCCATAGCTGTCACCAATGTATCAAGAAGATATAGAAAGAGGTTCCTTGCCTGTGACCAGAATGCTGACTCAATTCTGTCAGTACCAAGCTTGTCCTGCGGGAGCTAACTCATCGTCTCTGATTCTGCTCCCTTGTCAAACAACCTTCAAAAGGGCAGTTATGAGAATATGACTTGATGTAGATACTTATGGATGTGTAGAATAGATTTAAGAATAAGGCTAATGAATGAAACTTTCAGTAATGCCACTATCGTGATGGCAATGTGAATCTCCCCTCATAGGGTCGCCAGCTTCCATCCGCCTCCAACACGACATCATCCACGCCCTGCGGAGCCTGCTGCAGAATCTCGGCGAATAGTCTATAAACCGCTGAATCATCTGGGAATGACGGTAAAGCGAGAACACGGACCCGTCGACAATGAGCTCTCGCCAATCGAGAATTTTCTGACATATTGGACAAAACCTGCGACGATATAAGAGCCAGCCCAGTTCAACTCATGAAACACACCAAGTAGTTGTCTGCTCCATGAGCGCATACCACGACCCTGCATCAAAGCACTGCGAATGCGCACATTTGGCTGATCGACAGGGCACGATAATGCGGGCAGAGCTAATAGGGCACTTCAAAGGGAGCTTGAACGAGCTGGAGATAATGTCTTCGTCGGCGTTGGTAGCCATGGACGCGACCACTAAGCCAAGAATTAAGTCGAGAAAGATTTGAAGATGAAAGAAGACCGACTCTGTCGTCGTATTTCATCAGCAGGCACGAACCGTGTTTCACGCAAAGTGTTGACCAGAGACATGAGACGTTGCGCCTCGATAAGCTGAACCACAATGTAAAATTTCTGGTGATATTGTTAGGACAAAATGGCCAGCAAGTACCCATACATACGTCGCGCTTGTCCTTTGTCGCGATTCCCCAATGATTCGGCATGCTGTCGGTATACTCGATTGACACCGAATTGTTGCCTATCCGCAAGAACCCAGCAGCGCAAAGGTCGGGGGGAGCGATTGACCCTTTTGCGTTCTTGAAGCCGCGGCGCTTGAGATAAGTGTTGGTGAGTCGTCGTCCGTTGACCGTAATTAAACAAGTGGCAGGGAACTCGATTGGCAAGGCAGGGTGTGAGGGTGAGTATGGAGAGTACAGCGTCGAGGACGTGCAAAAGAGACCGAGTTGATAATTGGAGCTGATCAAACTAGTCAGAGCACGAAAACGGTCGAAAAGAGCTGACGCACGTAGGAGAATGTAGCTTCGAGACTTCCTCTGCGTCCAACTCGAAATCCAAAGTCGCTTCGACAGGGTCTCCAATACCATAGGTATCTGCTCGTCTGAGTTTGAATATAGGATGAGAAAGAAAAGGGCGCACTAGGGCATTCAAGCATTGCAGATACAGCTTTTTTAACCTTGAAGAAGGGTGATGTTTCGAAGCAAAAGTTGTTTTCTGAATGCTCCTAATGAGCCATTTGTTCAAGTCCACGATGACAACTCACCAAACTTCTCCTTCTCTGGACTGGGAGACCGTGCCACCGGTTCCGGAGTCGGAGTCGGTATTCTGGGAGGGGACGGGCTGGGGAGTGACGATGTCGAGGGTTCGGGAGGCGTAGAGACGCGTTGTTTGCGCTTTCTATGATTAAAAAGGTAAGAAACCATGCTCCGAAGGCAATCAGCCGTCGATATTACACGTACATGCTGCCCTGTATGGTGCTCACAATCTGCAAATCCACCACCGTTGGCCGAATTTTGATCCAAGCGTCGAGATCATCTTCCTCGTCGAGCGACTCCAGCTCATCTGTGACCCGGTTGACGAGATCTTGCTTATTCCCTGTCCTTGATATGCGCGCGGTGGTATGGGCGTTTATGGCGACGATGAGTTGTTTGAGATGCACAACGGTTGTCCTGCTGGATGAAAGCGCGTCAATCAGCGACTAAACAGGTCATTGTGACGAAGAAAAGGAGATTATAGTGCACATACTGTGATTTCCTTACTGAGGTTGAACCCAGGGCGAGACGAAGGCATGGTGTTGGCAGTGAAGGGAAAACGTCGCCCCGTGACTGCAGCACCTGAGTGTGTGACTGGCCGCGACCTGCGACATGCACCCTTCCCTGAAATTATCCAATCTCTCTAGACTACCTATTGGACTCCGTGTGAGCATACTACAAGACTACTCCGTGCGGGTTCTCAACTGAAAGAATCGTCAGCATCACGCCAAGGAGGCTGCTGAGGGCTCATTCGCAGGAATGCGATATATCGCTAGCACGTTCAACACGCTCCCTCAAAACCAGAAACTTCTACTTGCCCCAGTATTCTGCTCCCAGCTTGATACAGCCCATATTCCTCAATACTTGGAAGTCTCGGAGTCGAGCTTGCTTTCAGAAGTGCTTATCAACCTTGGTTCTCGAATCTACCTTGTGCTATCATCACTCCGTGGTCTTCAATTCCTCATTAGCCGGATCCTCCTTCCAGCTCCCGCCGTCGCTATAGTTTGGCCCCGAGTATGGGAGTGGATTGTCTTCCTAGACAATCTATGGCAGCAAATTCCCTCGTTCATCGTGGATCAACTGCAAGACCAAGTTCTACTCAGGACTTTAGGAGCTATCAGGCAAGACCCAGACATGTATCTTGCTACCGTCTTGAATAACAGACAAGAGTATCTTCCTGTTGTAGGGAGCATCTGGTGTCGATTGGCATCACGTCATGACGTTGAATTCGTCGGAGACTTGATGCTTGCGTTAACGGATGACGGACGGGGAGAAAATGCTATGTTGACTGCCCATGGACTTGAAGGTCTGGACAGCCTAGTCTCTGGGATGGGTGGGTCCCGGAAGACTCTCGCGCAGCTCATTGTCATAACTATGCGACGAATTTACTCCAATCCTCCGTATGACAAGCAAAGCGGCAAAGTTGCTCGTAGCGTCGTCTCTGCTTCCGACGCGTCAATTTCTATAGGCGCATTCACTGCTATGAGGGTACTAATGACACAAGGGAGGAAGGCTTACCCCAGCTTTTCGAGTCATCTTCTCCACGCTGATATCATACCTGCATTGGCTCATGCCACTCGTATTCAAGCGGAGACGACACCTTCTCACTTTAGAGAACCAACGCTCCCCGCTGGCGGCAATCTGACACAGTCCTCCCAAACTACAATGCTTCATTCTCTCTACGTAACTTTAGCCAGCACGCAAAAGGCCCCTCAAAAATGGTTTGCACAAGCTCTTGAGGCCGGTCTGCTTCGTGCTGTGCTTTTATCTGCCGATGTCAACGCGAGAACAGACTACTCGCAGGATACACTCTTCGGAGACATCACGGTGCAAATATTCCGTTACTTGTTGCCTGCGTATAGCTTCTATCACTCAGTACTTATCCCCTTGCATGCGGCTTTCAAAGATGTTGACGACTCGAACTTGGACCCGGAAAAGATTCTGGAGCCCGAAATTTTCTTCGACTGGAGTCTTCTTCGAGTGCATGTCGAACAACTACTCGCCGTTGATCGCAGGAAAAAAGATTCGGCGTCACGGACACATTTCCGAGCATGCGATAATATGCATTCGGTAGGGGGAACTCGACGCTGTTCGAATACTAGTAAGGACTTATGTTTCCCCAGTGTGGCAAAATTTTGCACAAAACACAGCTCAAGCAATGCCCACACTGTCTCGACCGCCAATATTGTGATGTAACGTGTCAACGTATGGACTGGCGAGGCTCCCACCGAGAGCAATGCTCCCTATTGAGAGTATCCACAATGGGTAAAGTCTACTAATAATGCAAACTGAGCTCATCTTCTCGATAGAATATCGTACTCTGGTCTCCCGACAAAACCATTCCTTTTTTCGTGCCCTCATCGTCTCCGCGTTTGAGGAGGTCAAATACACTTTGTCCGTCGACCTGGTAAAGTTCATGGCAACCCATAATATCCCGCTCTACCAGACTTGCGTCAAGTTCACCTTCCTTCGCGTATACGCGCGCGATGACCTGACGTCGGACTTCCGCATCATGAATACTTCTTCTCAGAGTCCTAAAGGGGCTCGGTTCTTTGGCATTTTCTCCCATTCCTTCAAACGTGTGCGGGAGAGCAACGGGAAGATGCAGATGCACTTCTTAGAGGTGGTACATGGGTCCCGCGACCAGAATCCTCAGGCTCCCCCGTTGGATCCCCTGTTGGAAGAAGAGGAAAAAGAAGACGGCTACGACTCCGAGATTGACTCGGGATCAGAATTTGAGCTGGACGATGACTTCGACTCTAACCTGGACAGCAGAAGAATCCTGATTCCAATGCCGTTGAGATTCGATAGCGGCCAATATTCTTCAAAACTCGAGGAGTTGGCAGGTCTCAAAGCAACTGGTGGGATAAATGAGACAGAATTTGTTGCAGAGGTTGAAAAGATTGTCGATGGAATGGGCACTTGGGCGTATTCAAATTAGCTCTTGCTTCGTTGTGCATGTACATTCGTGACTGCGTGCCTGCACTGCCACCAAATTCTTTTCCTAAACCACATCGCATCAACTGCCGCAGCCAGGAATCTTGCTCAGGAAACTAAGTACGACCAGCCCGTAAGTAGAGTGTCTGCCGCTGCCAGTACCATCCACTGAATATATTTATCGAATTCCAAAGGTGTACCGATGGACTGTTGCCAACCAACCATAGCAAGACTTGTCAAATAGCACCGGAATATGCAGGCTATTTTCGATTGCGAACACGCTGAACCGTGGAATGCTCGTAGACGGAGCTGTTGGGAATAGTCCGGAATACCATCCATCGTCAAAAGGATGCAGTTTCGTTTGGGCCCAGGCTGCAGGTGAGCGTATGCCATCCAGTTTGACTTCTGACTGACGACACGAGCTAGTACTCCAGCTGACGAGGGAGCGAAAATATACCTACTTCGTCCAAGTTACTCATGTGCACGCTTAAGCCCATGTCTCTGTCAGAGACTGGAAAACCTGAGCGTCGCCGGCCATTCAACCATTATTTGTTCCGAACAAGCGCACAACTTTTGCAGCTATTGTGGCCACAATGTCCATTCATTCTAGCCGTCGACCACCAAGGCTGTTTTCAAAACAAAGCACCGAGAGCTAAAGTGCGCGGTCACGCATCTGATCCATTCCTCCTCCTCATGACGACTACCACCAAAACCCACTCCTTTCTAACCTCCCTGCCACTCGACCTCATCTGCGCCATTGTGTCTTGCATGCGCGAAACCGAGTCTCTCAAGGCACTTTCCCTCACCCACTCCATCTTTCGCGATCCATGCCAAAAACGACTTTTTGCCACACTGGCCTTGTTTCATGAACCTCCAGCGGAAGCACTCGGTCCAAACTCCCGAGCATTATTACTGCCCCATCGAGCACCTTCGGCAAAAGCCGTCTTGCGACGACTGGACGCGTCGCCTGATCTTTCCCGCCATGTAACGACGATTGAACTGTATCTCCCCGTCCTGGATTCCAATGGCTTGGTGTCTGTGAACTTCGGGTTAACCATGTCGATCCTAGCAAAGCTTCCCTCTCTCCGCGAGGCCAGTATTGTTCAGAGTGCCTTAAAACCGATGCAAATCGGGAACTCCGTCAAGAGCACTCTTCGCATCGTCAAAATTTCTAAGCGCATGTTCGAGAGAATCAATCTGTGGGACGTGGCACGCATCCCCCCGTCGGTCGTGCCAGACATTCTGGTTTCCGCTCCTTATGTCGCGTTCTACTTCACCAGTGTTAGTGGACGTGTTGTGGATATGGCCACACAACCCAGACCCCTCAAACCACTCGAGCGTCTGCTCCTTTGCCACAGTCCATCTGTGAACGACCTACTGCTGCGTTCGGAGTTTGCATCTTACACGAAAGATCTGCGTGAACTTACGCTCTATGACAACAAAGCAGAAGAGGAGGGCGAGGCACCATTAGGCCTGGTTTTTGCCACTGCTCGAACGCTCCAGCGACTGAGCCTCCATTTCGTCAGTGAGTCTTCAGTCTCTATTTCTGCCGCTGAACCTCACATGACCGTCCAGACCGAGATAAGGACCACACGCATGTCGTCCTCCCCGCTCGTCTGCCCAATCTTCGCTTCCTCTTCATTGCCTTTCCTCAACACGACGCCGACAATGTCAATGTGCATGCATGGAACCCGCCTGCATTCCTTACAAAAGCCCTTTTTGGCCCGACCCTGCCTCTCCTAGCCCAATTGGAGTTGCGTTTCTGCATCCGCGTTGTCGAGAGCTCGCCTGGCGAGGTGGCGCGGGCCACCTTCCCCCGAGAAGGACTGCGGGAATTCGATGATGCGTTGGCATCACTTCCGAGATTGGAGACTGTTCGTTGGACTTTCAGCTTTCAAGGCACGGGAGTGGCAAGTCCGCAGCGATATCTTACCACTATCACATCGCTATTGCGGTCTGGGTTGCCGCAATCGTCTGGGAGGCTGGGGCGGTGCATGGTTTTCGAGTCAAGGAACTGATAAAGGAAGGGGTTAAGTTACGAGTACTTTCCTTTCCTTATATCACAAAGGCCCAAGGGTCGTAATGACTGGATGAAATAAAAGAAGTTGATTTATGCATATTCCTGTAGCTCATTGACACGCCCTGGGCCGATGGTGAGAGAAGCTTGAGCAGCGCAAGTTCTCAGTGGTCTGACGTCATTGATATGTCAGCCAGCAAATCTCTTTGGCGTCCACCTTCATGCCCAAACACGAGAAGTATATCCGCTACGCGCTCCTGAGACTACTCTAACACGGCACCAGCGCGGTCTGCTACCTCCCACAAATGCCCTGCTCGGTTGCTAACGTCGTTCATGACAGGACTACGAAGCACTTCCCATAACATCCACCGAGCGACGAAAACCCAGAAGAAACACCTTCCCAATCCGCCTTCTCATCCCGCTCGTGCTTGCCATGATGGTCGTCTCTGGTCTTCGCCACATAGCGCGAAACGGGCTGCCACGAATTGGGTGTCACCGACAGCTCGCAACGACGACGCTTCCCAGTCACTTCAAGTTGCCCTCTGGAGATAGAATACCCTCTGTCGCTCTCGGCAAGCACGCGGTCGTTCTCCATCGTTGTTTTCTCACATATCGCAGGATGCTGGAAGTCAGAGACGGACAAGGTCGGGGCAGCGGTCAAAGTGTGTCCTCCTCCCCTGCTTAGTCTTTTTGTGTTTGACAATACCCAGACAGCCCTGAAAGCGGGATATCGACATATAGATGGCGCCTGGATATATCGTGTCAGCTGGCTTCACTTTCGCAGCAAAAGCACGATCCTAACACAAAGCATGACAGAACGAGGAGGAGATTGGACAAGCATTGAAGGAGAGCGGGGTTCCGAGAGAAGAGCTTTGGCTGACGTCAAAAGTATGTTCTTTACTATGGCTGTTTGCGTACCTGAACGACAAATAGCTATGGAATACTTTCCATGAGCCCGCAGACATCGAACCAGCGCTAGACGACACCCTGAAGAAGCTTGGAACGGACTACCTTGACCTCTATCTTATTCATTGGTTTGCTCAAACTGTTTGATGCTCTTCTTTGTTATTGACACCTCATAAGGCCGCTAGCCCAGAAAAACGGACAACCATACAACAAGACACTGACGGAGGACCCATATCCGACATGGCAGAAGCTCGAGGAGCTGGTAGCGAAGGGGAAGCTTAGAAACATTGGAGTTAGCAAGTGTGTCAGCTACTTTCGACATGCATCTCCGTTCTGACCTACTTTGATAGCTTCAATGTCCGCAGGTCCGTGTCGCAGTCATTCAATATACTTGATCTCATTTGCCATAGGCTTCAAAACCTCACTGCAAACCCACTCAAAATCCAACCCGCTGTGAACCAAGTACGCGTTGGCTCCTTGACATCTCCCTCGACCCAACACATTTATAGGTTGAGATCAGCTATTGGGTCCCACAACCTGCGCTTCTCGATGTTTGTCTGATTTACTTCTCCACTTAGTATCTTACACAATGCTTCTGCAGTATTCCAAGAAGCATTCGCTTCTACTCGAGGCGTATTCACCTTTGGGCGGCGATGGCAAAGTCGGAGACACGCTGCGCCTGCCTGTCGTCACCAAGATCGCCTCCCAGCTTGGAATAACGCCTGCTCAGGTCATCATCTCGTGGAGCGTCCAGCGCGGCACAGTCGTGTTACCGAAGAGTGTTACGCCGAGTCGGATCGTGGAAAATCTTCAAGGTATGTCAGGCTAGACGGAAGGAACGGCCGGGCTGATGCTGTTCTCTCCAGTGCAGGCCCTTCCTCAGGCGCTTTTTGACGAGCTTGAGGAGGCGGCGACATCGCATGAGCCGTATCCAAGACTCAATCCGAGCAAAGGCTGGGGACTCGACTTTGATATTTTTGACGGAGATGATGGAAATTAGAGATGCAGAAAGATGGCTAAACAAGTGGGTTTCCGAGCTTCCTAAGTGCTTGATGTCTCTTCTGCCGTCTGTCGGCTAGCTGCAGTCTACTCGCGCTCCCTTGAACTCATTCTTTATTTTTCCTGCCGCGTTCAGCTATTTGGATGTAAAACCTTTTGCCGTCCATGGGACTCGGGAGAGCGTGTGTTCATCGGAAGCGCCGACCACTCAAGACCTATATAGTCTCCCTTCTTTGTCTTTCTACAAGGAACCGGCACCGCTCACAACACTGATTCTTGTCCGAAGAATTAAATCAAGTCAGTCAGAAGCCCACAACTTCATTCACAATACGGTGATCGGTGTAAGGACTTCTGAACTTCTCGTAGGCAGCTTGCAGACCAGTCATGTTCAGATAACGGCTGCTCTCAATTCCGCCGCGTGTCACCCAGCAAAGCTTACTTTTAAGCGGGTAGAAATTCCCCCCAACTCTAATGACGCAGTCTGGCAAATCGTACCGCGAAATCGTGGGCCTTGCCCCATCTACCGCGGCCTTGAACGACTCGGTGCTGATCATCATCGATGCGCAAAACGAGTATGTCGTTGGCGAGCTCTTGATCACCAATCTCGCCACCTCCCGCCCCGCCATTGCAGCGCTTGTCGAGCGCTACCGCGCGTCAGGCAACCCAGTGATCCACATCCTGCACAAAGTAGCGGAAGGCTACCCCGCGTTTACGCCTGGGACCACGCTCGCTGAGGAGTTTGACGAGCTACGCCCGGTCGCGGGGGAGGTTACGATTGAGAAGATCCACCCCGGGGCGTTCACTCAAACGACGCTGAAGCAAGAACTCGATAAGCTGGGCAGGAACAAAATCGTGTTGGTGGGGTACATGGCGCACGCTTGCGTTAGTACGACTGCGCGTGAAGGCTCGCAAGAGGGCTACGACGTGTTTGTGGTGGAAGACGCAATTGGGGCCAGAGATATTCCTGGTGCGACAGCCGATGTTGTGGTCAAGGTAAGTTGAGTCACTAAAGCTTCAAGTTTTCAGTCTGATCCCAAGTCCAAGGTTGTTTGCGCAGAATTGGCAGATGTTTTCGGAACGGTGATAAAGAGTGGAGATATTATTTGAATAGTGAATTACTTCTCTTCATCCACCACCGCTGAAACGTGTGAAATGAGAGCAATGGTGAATGCAGAAACAACTCCACAAACAACCAAAACACCCAAATCAAGGTCTGTGTGTTCGGGGCTCCATGGAAAGTATATCCATGCTGCAACCCATAAGAGCAAGATGATGATGATTAAGTTGAGGTGGTGTGTGTGGTGTGAGTGTGATGGGATCACTGATGACAGTGATGATGTTGATGATGGGAAGTGTAGTGCTAGTGGTGGTGCTGGTGCTAGTGTTGATGCTGGTGTTGGTGCTGCTGTAGAGTTGGGTGGAGAGGAAGGAGGTGTTGATGTAGGATAGGACAGATATGACATACTAAGTATGCCTCTTGTGGCCAAACATCCCCACAACAACAACCCACTCCAAAATGATCCCAACCCAAAACCAACACCAAAACCCAAAATGGTAGTGGTCACAGTCACAGTCACCTCTGGTATGTCGTTGCTGAAAATAGATACATTACCTGGTCCCTTTGTTGTCTTCATCATTGAGGGAAGAACAATTAGCATCAAGAGCATCAGTTGCCATACCATAAATGGCATAAACAACTCCAATATGGGTCGCTCCATCTAAAGAGGGCGACATTCCATAAAGGGAAGTGCATCTGAGCATAGTCTCCCCATTTTCATGTCTTCACATCAAGCAATAACTCCAATGACCTGTAAAATCAAAACAAATCAGCACTTGTTCAACAATCAGCAGTGTTTGCCCTAAGGCCTTAATTCAAGGGTTTCTTTTCAGCTAAGGCCTTAGCCCTTAGACTAAGCCTTAGGCCTTAGGTAGGCTAAGGCCTTAGATGGGGCTTAGGTTCCAAAAGAGGAAATTGTTTCCCACCACTAAACATATTTGTGTATGACCTTACTTAGACCTATGCCGGATTATATGAGGGTCTATACACACCTACTGAGTATAGGACACTGATTGACTATATTTTTGTATCTGAATCACCAATCTGTGATGGTAGATCAAGCCATCACTCTCCTCCTAAGGGCTCACATGACATCTAAGGCCTTAGAGAGCCAATTGTCCTGCCAGCTAAGGCCTGAGCTAAGCCTTAGTCTAAGGCCTTAGCCCTTAGGAAACACCTAAGCCCTTAGGTCTTAGGGCGAACACTGACAATCAGAGGTTCGTCGTCGTCGTAGGCGTTCTTGAGGGTCAACAGTTCCACTTTCCACTATGGGGAGCAATAGAACCGCTATGGGGGGCACGTTGTATTCTGGGGCCTATGCTACAATACAGCGCGAATATATACCTGGGGCCGTCACAGCCTTACATAATCCCTGGCCGTGGCTGCCGGTCACATGTCTCGCTCTGAGACAGTTTCAGACGCTTGTTTTGTCTCATCCCGCTTCAATCTACCCCCCTTAATGCATACTGAGACGTCTCAGTCTCTCGTGTTTTGCTTCAGCAAGCGTTTTGAGCTCATACACGTCCCATGTCGTGTTTCGGGGCCTCCGGCCGGCCACGGCCCGGTCCGAACTGTTCCAGAGTGATTTTGGGGGTCAAAAGCACCCTTAAGCGGCGCTTTCAGCTCTTTTCCCCCCCACCTACGCGTCCCGCGCTCGACACCGCCGACTCGTCCACAATCTTGATGTTCTGTATGAAGACTGCTGCAATGAGGCCCAATCCTGCTACCGGCACGCCAAGCACGAAGACTACCCTCAGCGACTCCGTATAGCTCTTCACGACCCCCGAAATCAGTTCTTTTGGGAGTGCATCATGAATGGCAGTCGGACTCTGCCTGACGATTTGCTGTGGCACATTTGGTGCGTATCGCGCTAGAAATCTGCCTAGCTCGGTGGCAAATACCGGCTCTGCGACACCCAGACCGATTGTTCCACCAAAGAATTGGCCAAAGGAGGCCATAGCCGTTGCCTGACCGAGCAGATGGGCGTCGGATTTGTCGCGAAACTCGGCCTGGATGGCGACGAAGGCGTTTTGCATACCCAGACCGGTACCGATCCCAGCAAGGATTTGGAAGCCGGTGATAGAGGCGGTCGAAGTTGCGGGTGAAATTGTGTACATTAGTCCGGAGCCCACAGCCAGGAAGACAGGTGCAATGAGGAGGAAGTAGAAATATATTCCGAGCTTGGAGACGATCTGCCCAGAGACGACTGCAGACAAAATGACCGCAATCATGAACGGAAGCAAGTCAATTCCGGAGCGGGTAGCGGTGTGATTGCGCGCGGCCTGATAGAAGATGGGCAGGTAATATGCGAAGAGGAGGAGGGAAAACCGCGATAGGAAGCAGTAGAGGATGATTGCGAAGACTGAGCGCGATTTGAAAACTGTAGTCGGCACCATCGCGCGCTCCTCGCCAATCCAAATCTCCCATGCAATAGTTGCAGCGGCAAAAACACCCGACAAGACGAAGCAAATGATGACCGCTTTGTCGCTCCATGGTTTTGTATTGCCGCCCCATTGAAGAGCCAAGACCAGACATGTCACAAAGGCAGCAACGAGCGTGGCGCCGATGTAGTCGAGATGGGAGACTTGTCTGCGGAGATGAGCCCAAGTGCGGCGGGTACCGTCTGAGCCGAGCGGCGGAGATGCTTTGAGGAGGAAAGCGACGACTGTTGCAGAAACACCACCAAAGGGAAGATTAATATAAAAGCACCACTGTCTTAAAGTCACCTCTTGCTACATTGTGAGCTGCTTGCCACACTCACCCGCCAGGTTACGCGGTCAGTGAAGGCACCACCAACGAGCGGTCCTACAACGGAGGCCAGACCAAAAACTGCCCCAAAAAGCCCCCATAGACGTGGTCGATCTTCAAGACGGGTGACTTGTGAGACAATCTGCATCATGGAGACAACTGTTGGACCGATCAGTTTTGCTGCTTTGGCAATGTGAGAGCCCGAGCTACGTACACAGTCCCGCTGCCCCGACACCAGTCACCGCCCTCCCAGCAATAAGCATATTAATATTCTAATGCAGTTATGCCCAAGTTTAGAGCATTTTATAGGGATACGCACCTTCGCCACTCCACAAACCAGGGAACCGACTTCAAATATTAGGATCGCGGTCAGCATCACGTACTTGGCTGGTGCGATCCGCAAAACCTGGCCGTAAAACAAGAGAAAGATCGTTTGGGCAAGAATGAAGGCGGTCGCGACCCAGCCCTGGAGGGTAAACGCGTCGAAGTCGGATGCGATCCGCGGCAGGGCGGTGGCGAGGATGGTCTGGTCGAGAGCTGTAAGGAGCATACAGAATAACCTCCGGACCGTCAGTAGATTGGCAACTAACTCCAAGTCCCAAGGCTCACATTGCGGTAAAAACTATGGCAAGTTTTCCTCCAGTGAGAATGATACTCTGGTCTACGTCTGCCCCTCCTGCTTTGCTCCCCGCTGCGGCAACACGAGAAACAGGCGACCCAAGAACGGGCTTTTCGTAAGATTCGGGAGCTCGCTGTGAGTCTGATGGCATGTTCACTGACTCCGAAAAAAGTCCTCACTTGCGTAGATATATAGGCTCAAGGAAGCTCATCCTCCGCAGAAACTTCCGTGGTAGTGTCAGCACACATGACACACCTTCCGTTGTGACTGTATGTCCCGTGACGGTGACATCTCGCGATCGCAAGGGGTCTCTTCAAGCGGGTTTTGCTCGCGCAAACGAGACCGAAGAATTGATTGAGCATGTGCATAAGACAACCCTAAGTAGTTTAAGCAGCCACTACATAACATGAGCCGTGACATACGAGGACGAAGGAGCCAATGTCAAAGGGATGTAAAAACGAGTCAGAGGCATATCATTGGACAGCTTGAGCAATCCTCGAAGTTGGAGCCGACCCCGACTGACCCAATAATGCTGACGCCAAACTGGCTGGCGCGCTTCCCATCTCCGAATGCATGCTGCTCCCTGGCGGGGGCGTATAAGCAGAAGAATCTTGCAAAGTGTACGCAGGCGGTTGAGGACTTCCGTTTGGAGGAGTTACACCCAGAAGAATCGGGCTGAGAGGAACGAAACCGCGGGGTAGAGTGTTTCCATTACTGCTCTTCTTGCTCGAAGAAGCTGCTTGAAGAGCATCCGTCAAGTCGGGCAGTATAAACGGGTGCGGAACTAGTTGCGGATTCGGTGCCTCTGATTCATCGGCAGCCAACAATGCAGCGTCTGCAATAACACCCGTCGAAGGCCCGGAGTTCGAGTTAGACTGGAAAAACTGTCAACAAATGGCTCGTAGTCAAATATAAACGCGACTGACGGGAGGCTCAATCTGGATATTTGGAACACTTGTTGCCGAGAAGGAGCGGCTTAATCCTCGCTTGAGCCACGAAAAGGCGGACTTGGGGCGAGCGGGTTGGTGACTTAGATCGATGACTGGAGGTGGCGGAATAGCTTGCAGGGTCGGAGCATTGAGGACTGTGTCTTGGATAGGTCTCGCTCCAGCGGTAGACGGTCTTTTACTGCTATAAGCATATGCCGAAGTAAGCGGTTCTTGAGGAGGCGGAGCTTTTGAGCTACTAGTCGTTGCTGGTCCAAACATGTTTGCAGACAACGGCATCGGCATGACGATTTCGCGTGGCTTTCTTGGACCACCTACAGGCGCCGGAGTAGCAGCACTACGCCGACTGGGTACTTGAGAAGGTGTCGTTGTCGAAGAACGCATAGAAAACTAAGCAAGCTCAATATAATCCCTGAACGGAAGACACAAAGAACACACAGAATCTCCCTGGCTGCGATCGGGCTGTTTGCCTTTCGCGTTCGGAGCTTGACGTTGTTCCGGTTGAGAAACATTTGGCTTGCTCGCATTTGCCGCGCGCCATTCACGCACAATCTTATGCGTAACAGGCGTGTCTGTTTGACGAGGCGGTGGTTGGAGGATATCAAAGTCGGATAACCGTGTAGATGCGCGAGAAGTCGCTCGTCCACCAAAACCTGATGGGAAAAACCTGGTCCCGGGTTCAGGCTCATCGTCATCGTCATCGACCATCGAAACTGGGCGGCTGAGAGAATGCGGGGCAGGCAATGAAATGACTGAGTCAGCACCAGGACCAACAGTTGGGATATATCCGTCCGGTAGGACGATAGAAGAGCGACGCGACCTCGCAAGGCTGGGAGCGCGACTGTGATTGCTCATTCGTGTTTCTGGACGGGCTTCCGCATTTTGCGTATGGACTTCAGGGGGAGAAGAACGTGGGGGGTGAGGGGGGAGAGGACGTGAACGTGGTGGTGGTGGGGCATCTCGTCGAGTGGGTGGTTGAGAAGCCGAACGACGGGATGCAGAGGTCCGTTGGCTTGATACTTGGTCCATTGAGCGCGGAGGTGACTCCGTTACTGGTGGGCGGGATACGGAACGGGGGACATTTGTTCTTGTATAGTGGTCTGATTTGGTGGGCTGTCGCGATTGACGAGAGTCCCAAGTGGGGATGGTCGGCGCTTGATCAAGTGTTGTGTGGCCAGGTGCTGATGACGAGTCTGAGGAAGCTCGAGCGACTTGATAAACAGGTCTGTAAACATAAGTAAATAGAAATACGAGAGAGATTGGGACTAACCTTGCGGGTTGTGTGAGGAAGTCTCCACTCGATAGACTTGATGACTCAGGTGTCGAGGGAGAATAGTCTTCCGGCTCCGGTTCTGGCCGCATCTGATACTCCTGCCCTCCATCCGAGTCAAATTCCCACTGAGTCGGAGCATCCACATAACGCTCTCTTTTGGCCATTTCATTGGCCCACCGACGGCCTTGCTTCAAACCCTCCTTGTAGCCCTCATTCCTTCCCTCCTCCCTCGCAATCCAAACAGCCTTTTCGCTCGTCAGTCTTCGGGCAATCGTTCTGTCTCTCGCTGCTTGCTCTTCTGCTTCTCTCCTCGCCTTATCCACTCCTTCCACAATGACTTGTGCTCGGTTTATTTCTTTTTGAGCGAGATCCAGCTGCATTTTGTATAGTCGGAGCTCTTCGGTGACTGTGGCGAGGTTGCGACGCAGTTGCTCTCGTTCGTCCACGACAGTCTTCAAACGAGAGAGGACTTCGCCACAGCGAGCTTCGAGTTCGTTTGCACGGTTGGTTTCCTGACCAAGGCGCTCGGTCGCTGCAAGAAGCAGATTGGAAACGGTACTGTTGGAACGGGAGCGAGTGTGTTTGTGATTATTCGCGCGGTAGTGCTCGCGGTCTTCTTCACGACGTTTCAGGAAAGCTGCCATGGTATCGTTCATGGTCCCGCCATTAGCTGGGGGATATGAGCCGAAAGGAATGTCTTTGTCTCCAATCGGAGGCGACTTTCGTGAGCTCTTGTATCGGCGTGTACCATCCTGCACAGGTAAGTCGACCGGCGACGAAAGCCTGCCAACGGTAAAAAAGATGTGTCGTTTAAAGCAGGTGAACGCGTACCTGGAGGGTCCTGGCATAGCATCCATCGATGTAGTGGGTGTGGCGAAAGTGGTTAAGCGCCGCTTGATGCTATCATTCCTCGCTTTTAAGCAGCTTGTGGCGAGACACAGACAAGGGAAGGGATGCGGTAGCAGCACTAGCAACAGCACAAGTGGGTCCGCCGTCAACGAGGCGAGATATGAGGACCCGTACACGTGTCCTTCGCATGCCCTTCAAAGATTGCGAGATAGCGATTCTCCGGAGCCTTTGCCGTTCTCGGGACTTCTCTCCAATGAACAGTGGGTGTGACTGTGAATTCTAGAGGTCAAATGGTATCACAGAATTCGATAGAAGTGCTTGCCTATCGATATTCGCACTTTCGATACTGGCAGGTGGCAGGTGGGGCCCAGTTGGGTTCATTTGCCTCAAACTCGCCCTCAATGTGGATGTTCGGTCCTATCACCCGCGCTGCGACCTTCCCTTGGTCAATGACTGCCAGGCTCCATCATCATGCCCAAGTCGATGGAAGGCTGGTGCTACTGTTCCCCGTGGAAAAGTTCGGATTGGGAACTATCATCATGCATCTGTCAGTAAGGTGGATTTTGAGTTAGAGGAGAAGTGGCTCACTTGATAGAAAAAAGCTTCATATTCGATTATGACCTGGAGGTCGTCTGAATAAGATTCGGACAAGCACGGCAGCAAGAAAGGTAGGAGGTCGTCGATAGAGAAGTTCCGATGGGTTCCAACAGAAGCCATGCCCGCGTTCTCATCGTGAGGGTAACGTCGGTCCTGACAGTGGTCGTTGTCGATTTGATGGCGGGTCACGGTAGTCACAGTCATCACACTTCTCCTCAACCATAATTTGACGTTCGTCCCTGCATACATACACCTATGCATGCGGGAGCATGAAAATCTATCTCTGTGGGCCTTTTTCTCCGCGGACAGTGAGCATGGGACTTTCGGTTGCACATTGAATTTTTATGCATCACCTCAATGCTTGTAGTTGCATGAATTTGGCATTATTGCCAATTGGACCTTGGTGGTCAGCAGGAGCCTGAACGATGCTGTCATACTAGTAGTTGCATCTAGGGCTACCATATTCCAGCGCATGCTAGATGGGCTTTATCTGTCTTTCCGCTTTATTTCCTTCAATAGGAAAGGTGCGGCCCTTTCAGAGTTGACGATCGCTTTACTGACTCCAAGCTTCGTTTCAGCACGAACCACGGGTATTAAAAGCCCACTTGCATGATGCGGCGTGCAGCTTCCTATACCTGAGGCTCATCGGCATCCACGTAAGGCGGGAGCGAAACCTACCAAGTTTGCGGATGAAGGATATGGCGGCTGTCGATATCGTCTTATAAGCCTCGTTATACGAGTCTAATATCGACCCTATGGCCGTCCTGGGGCAGTTTCTCGACTCTGTTATATGGTTGTTGGTATTTGCATGGCATTACCCAGCATCATCATTTCATTCGAAGCCACGATTGTCAACGGTGGCACTGGATTGTGAGGCCTCAGTGAAAAGACTTCACCACACTCATATCTACCTTACAGACGGAACCTTTCGTGGCGACATTGACGACTCGAGCGAAATCATTTCATTCCGTGGTATACGCTTCGCCGACCCACCACTCGGCTCGCTGCGATGGCAGCCGCCCGTATCTCCACCTTCAGCTCATCTTGGTACAGTGGATGCCACAAAGGTAGCGCTCTTATCATCTGGTCTAAAGCTGCAACTAATCATGCTTCCAGTTTGGCTCCGCATGTATAGCGACAACACAACGAGGACCGGGCGCGACTACGTCAGAGGATTGTCTGTTTGGCAATGTAACGATCTACAACCCTGCTAGTTATCTATGCTGACAGCACTAAAAGGTCTATATCCCCATCGACGCTGATCCTGCCAGCGCTCTTCCAGTGCTGGTGTTCTTTCATGGTCCGTAATTTACTCTGTCTCCTCCGCTATCTTCACCATTCGTGTAGGAGGTGGCTTTGAGAGCGGACGAAGCACGAAATACCCACCTGAAGACCTGATGGAATCATCCTCCGACCCATTCATTCTAGCCACCTTCGAATACCGGTTGGGTCAATTCGGCTTTCTCGGTCCGTTATGGATTCCTCGATGGTAAATAACCTTATTGACGAAAAAAAAGCTGGAACCGCCATCAAGACTAACGGAGCACTGAATGTGGGGCTTCTGGATCAAGTATGTCATCCTTCCAAACGTCTACACTGTGCCAACTTTGCTTAGAAGGCGGCTTTGAAATGGATACAGCGGTATATCCACGCTTTTGGAGGGAACCCTGGGTGTGTCCTTCCTTCATCGTCCATCTCACGGCTGACTGGCTTTAGCGACGTTACGATTTTCGGTCAGTCCGCAGGTGCAGGATCTGTTGTTTATCACGCAAGTGACACTGGCTTCCCTCGACTTGAACTTATTGTGCAACAGCTAATTGGCGACGGAGGAACAAATGACGAGCTCTTCCAACAAGCGATTGCGGATAGCCCGCCGTTTTTGTCGCTCTTGGACTACAACGATCCGTTTGTTGAGGATTTGTTCTCGCAGTTTGTGAAGAATGCGTAAGCAATGACTTTTGGACCTTCTTCTGTCAATGAAACTATACACCAGTGATTGTGGCAAACGTTCAAATGATCCGGCCACGGTGGCTTGTCTGCGTAATGCATCCAGCGAAGTGCTTGCGAGTGCGGGCCGGCAAACGCTCCAGAACATGACCTCCAGCCTGTACCCTTTTGGCCCAGTCTTCGATGGCGTCTTCATTCAAGAGCGACCTGTCTCAGCATTGATGAATGAAAACTTTGTCTCTGTACCTGTCATATTCGGGTCCGCGTTCTGGCCACCGGATCCTTTCATCAACTAATCTAAGACAGGTCCAACAGCGACGAAGGCGCGAACTGGTCCGCTAAGCTGAGCAATCCAAGCGCGAACACTTCGAACCCTAATGCATCGCAAATGACCGTGTACAACTTCCTCGCGGGTCAATATACTCAACTTACCTTGGCTTCATTCAATGTGGCTGTGGAGGAGTATTATCCAATCAGCGCTTATGCAGGCAACTTCAGCCGCCAGGGACAACAGATATATGGGGAGATGCGGTACATTTGCTCCGCATTGTTAGTCGTCGGAGCTATCAACGGTGGTTCCGGCGGAGATGCAGCATACGAATATCAGTGAGCATCTCCTTCCTAACTACCTGGAAAAGTGGTGATTGGCGGACTTGCAGTTGGGAGAATCCAATTCTGGGATCGACGCATGGTGACGAACTCGTTGCGTTCTTTAATCCTCCGGATCCCGTGGACGACCTTGACGATCAACTTCTCACTGGAATGAGGGAATACTACACATCCTTCGTCACGAATGGCGAGCCTGTTTCGGACTCCTTTTCTGTGGAGTGGTTGGTGAGTAAGATTGCTTTGGACGGGTGTTCTCAGGGCTAACTGCTATATATAGCCCACCGACAGCAGCGAACTTGAAGGCAGCCCGCGCATCTTCTTGCATCCCGGCGCTGTCCAAATGGAAGCCGTTGATCGTGATCTTAGCGCGCGTTGTGCATTTTGGTACTCAATTGCTGACGAGCTGAAAATTTAAGAGGGAGATCGAAACTGCTTTGTAGGTATTGGTATCGTCACAGACTGAATTAATGGACAGATTGTTCGTGTTCTTTCCTCTTGAATCCTCGCATCGGCGAACCATCTCCGGCCAGTGACCAGGCACCAACTAGCGTTTTCGAACAACAGGCAGCCTTCAAGTTGAAGGCTGTCAGTGTTACTGGTCGCGTCGGCAGCGGGGCGGCAGCAAAAGGTAAATAAGCAATGATAACAGACTGCGACTGTTCAACAAAATCATCGTGATTAACAGTCTCAAATTCTCGGTCCAGACTTCCGGGATATTTTCTTGTAATCAGTGAGTGCTTCCTACAAGTGTCAACATGTGCGTGGAAGCTAAGTGAGAGTCCAAATCCAGTAAATCACTTGCTCATCTGAGGCTCAAGTGGGTTTACTGTTTGCGATGAAGTCGGGGCCGCAATCGCTGGCAGGGATCAAGTGGCTGGCACTGTCAGACTCATTTGTTGAAATTGTTCTGTTCGACTGTCGCTGTCGAGCGGTACACATCGACAAAGTGGGTCACGGCATTGCATCGAGCAGTATAAAAGAACAAACCAAAGCAAACATTCAATCAGAGTGAACATGTTGCGCTCGTCAGCTAGACACTTGGTCATTGCGCTGTACTCTGTCGCGTTTATATTGCTTGGGCGCTGCGAAGGAAGGAGTGCGTTTATTCAACTTCTTGACCTCAGATTGACTTACAACTCTACTTCCAGTTAACCTCGCTGAGCGGCTTTCCGCCTGTCGCGATGCTGGAACTCTGAAAACACTGGGAAACGCCACCTTCGTGTCGGGAGGTCATATTGCCAAATATAGCGCAACATACTGCCCTGCAGCGACTGCCGAAGCGCGTGCTGTCGACGTGAGCCCACGGGAAGTCATCGAGGGACGTCAAACATGCACACAGTGTCCATGCGCAAACGGCTCGATCCAATGCTTTTGCCACAATCTTCCAACTGTGCCTGTGGACACTTGTGCGTGAACCAATCGTCTGAGTGTCATGCGGCGATTCATCTTCCGTTTAGTGTCAATCAGCAGCTGCAGCAACTCTACCCCGCCGAGCCCTTTCATTCCGATCAACCAAGATTGCACGACCTTGGCTGCACTCGTCACTGGTGCACCAGCATCGGCCAATTTAGGTAGGCAACTGCTCGTCCGAACTCTAGATATTGACTCTCGACACAGGCTTCCCGGTTATGAAGAACGGGTTTTACAATGTCCCCATTAATAGCATCCTCGCTTGGGAGTTCCAGGGCTGCGGATTTGCTTTCTTCAATGATGCCGGTTCAACCTACAACATCTGTGCCCAAGATCTGGCGAGTATTTGACTACCACTTTGCTGTCGTGTTGACTTGTCTTGGACAACAGGCAAACACGATACGAGCCTTGAATGGATTTTGCGACGATGTCAACACGAGCTTTGGGCTCTTCCAAAACAGCGGGCTGAAGAGCTGCATGTGAGTGATGATAGCTACTAGTCATGACCTGGGACTGACAAATATCAGGACCTATAATCCCTCCGAGCTGGGATAAGAGTAGAACGCGTGACGTCATCATGTATCTCACGTGGCCGTACCTCCCGCTGCAAAGTCATATTTTTTTTGTCAATCTGAGTTGCAAATCGAATTAGTTTGCCCAGAGCTAACGACCACCTCGGCGAATAAAAGCGAATAAATGGCCGTTGAATTGGACGTCTTATGTGCCGAAGTGATTCTGAGTCACACGCGTCTCACCGTTTACCCGACCACCATCTACTTATAACCACTCGAACGATGGCGCTCTCACTGCTTCTCATTCACAACCTCCCATGTCTGCTAGGATAGTCTCTGTGTTCGGTGCAACGGGGCAGCAAGGTATGACTCAATCAATGTCATTTGAAGGTGCTGACCTTTTTCAAGGGTCTGCCGTCGTGAAAGCTCTTCTGAAAGACGGCACCTTCTCCCCACGCGCCATCGCCCGCAACCCCAACTCTGAAGCCGCCAAGGCCCTGACCTCTCAAGGCGTAGAAGTCGTCCAAGGTGATGCCCAAGACAAAGCGTCTCTAGTTCAGGCGTTGAAGGGTAGTGAGGCAGTCTTTGCGGTGCGCTCTTGCTGCATGGGTGGAACACAGATATCTGACTTACCTGTAGATGACTGCCCCGATAATCCCTCCTGGGCCCACGACCCACCCCCCGAACGAGTGGTCAGCAGGGAAAAACATCGTTGACGCTGCTCAAGAAGTCGGGGTCAAGTTTCTGATCTGGACGTGCGTTTTCTGCAACTTTTCGGTGCAAGTTCTCATATGCCCCTCCCAGGGGAATGCCCAGCATCGCCAGAATCTCTGACGGAAAGTACACGCAATGTCTTCACTACGATCGTGCGCTTGATACTTCTTCCACCTATTCTCACATTTATTTCTGTCCCAGAAAAAGAACAAGTCGAGAAATACCTCCAAGCATCGAACATCCCCAACGTCTCTCTCCACCTCGGTGGCTTCTTGGAGAACTTGTGGAAGTAGGTTTTGAAATCTCCAAACGCGTAGTTCTGCTCAACCACGCCTAGATTCGGAAACCTTCGGAAGACTGAGACGGGTTTTGACTTGACCATACCAGTATTCAAACCTGGAGAACGACAAGCATTCACATGGGTTGACCGCGATGTTCCCCAGTCCGTTCTCGCTGTCCTCAAAAGCTACACCGACCCTGCAAAACTTGCCAAGATCAACGGAGGGGTCTTCCCCATCGTCAACGCGTGCATACCCTATTCGGAACTCGCCGAGCGCATCGGAAAAAGTGTGTCGCCATTTTCATCTTCTATGTTTTTCTAGTCTGAGCGCCATTGCAGCTTTGGGCGTTCCGGTCACCTACACGACGATACCAGCGACAGGCCACCCATTCATGGATGAAATGGCAAGTGTCCAATCTACAGAGCTGGAGCTTGCAGGCTTACGGAGCACCCAGTTTTCGGCGCATGTGGAATATAGCGGCCTGTTTACCTCAACGCCAGTACCAAACCCCGGTCTCGCTGAACTTGGCGTCAAGCTCGGCACTATCGACGAGTTTCTGGAGCAGGAGGTGAAGCAGCGCTTCTCTGCATAGTATGCACAGTACAATAACTAATTGAACTATCCGTCGATTCATCGTTCAACTCGGCGGGGTTGGGAGTGACTTTGAGGTCGACGGCTAGGTCTAAATTGGAGGACCTGGATTGACGGATCAGTCCAGTATTCTCCAGGAAGTTGAATGGAGCGAGAAGAATCGACTCCAACCGACGTTACGTTTTGAGTTCTGATTGTGTTGTTTTTGCATCGTCGTTTGTCAAAGTTGCTTGTGAGAGTGATGAAGAGAGTGATGAAGTCGTCTATCTCAGTCTGAACTCTAGAGCTCTACCGCGGCGGTATACATTGCTTGAATTCGAAGGCGTACGACCAGTTGGTTGCTGGGAGAGGAACAACCATATAACTTGTGACAGCCTGCGGTGACAGATCAGCAATTCACTTGCATTCTTCACTCACTTGCGTTTACTATGCTCGAGACCACTCCTTCCGCGACAACGCTTCAATGCCCGTTAGACGTCCCCTCACCCTTGGTAACAGATTTGAGAGACTCCGGTCAGCCACGGTATGAATAGTGTGTGTGGCCATATCCGTTTTAGCTCTATCCGAAACTAACTACTTGTGGATAGAGAGCGAGTTATACTTACCACCTTTGACTCTGTGCAACATCCCCATCTCGGCGTTATACACCCCCTCAGTGACGATGAAGTGCCCCAGAAACAAACTCGAGTTACTCGACGCTTAAAAAAACTCAATGCTGGCTTTCCCTCCCACAGGACTCGCTGAATGACGCTCCTCGCATGAAAGTTTCGATCAATGAACCCGATTGTGTGGGCGTTCATTTGTGATTTGGCCTCGCGCTTCTGTTGAAACCCAGCATCCGCTTCTCCATACTTTCCACCAGTCTCCGCAGCACTTTGTCATACCCCTCCACCGCACTATATATCCCCTACTTATACCCTTGGAATTATACCAGTCGCTTGAGCATCGGTGCCAAAGTCCTGTTCTCAAATTGCCTTGGATAAAATGGCAAGTGTTCCATCTTCAAAGCGGGAGATTTCATTGTACCCTCAGGTAGCACTGTGCCACTAGTTTTTGGTGCATGTGGAATATAGCGGCCTGTTCAACACCAGTAGAAAACTCCGGTTTCGCTGCGCTCGCTAGTGGTCTAGTAGATTCATCAAGCGTGTCTGACTCGAGGCTATCATGATGAATCATGAGGGTGCTTCGCACACGTTGCGAAGAGACCGTGACGCTGCCACTGGCAGTGTCTCTGGAAGACATTTAAAGCACAAACCTAAGGTCCTGAGCCCCGGTACCAGAAGATGGATGGCATCGTGAAACTATTCAACTTCATACGCCAGGGCGGCTCTGTTGATATCGAGCTACAACTTGGGGACGAGGGTACGAAACATCAATGCCTCATTTTTACCAACTCTTTGGCTGACTGCTGTGGCAGTGGACCGCACAGATGACACCGTGAAACTATTCGAGTTCCTACGCCAGGGCGGCACTGTTGATATCCAGCTACAACTTCAAGGGTGTCACAATGACGGTACGAAATATTAATGCCTCATTTTTACCAACTCTTTGGCTGACTGCTATAGCAGTGGACCGTGTTGCAGTGAATGGTGCTACAGTGGACCGTGCTGCAGTGGACCGCAAAGCGGTGAAGAAAAAGATGAAGAAGATAGTACGCCGTTTCTATGCCAGGGTTCCCCGCACGGATGAGCGACGCAAAGAGCTTAAGCGGTGCGTCTTCATACCTCGAAGTAGTTCTTAACTTGAACTTCTGCTAGTCAGGGTCTGTTGAATGTGAACAAGGTTATCGATGCCGCAATCATGCATTGCCACAAAGAAGCTTGCCCCGTCACCCTGCAAAACATCATTCTGTCGTTCTCGAAGAGAGTGGCGGACGTTGAACGTCCGATCCATACTACAGCGAGCACGGAAACCTTGGATGGCCCAGCAGATGACGATTACAAATACCAATTCGAGAGCTCGACACCGGAGGAACAGTCTGATGATGAAGGCAGTGACAACGAAAGCGAGGACACCGAAAGTGAGAGCAAAGGCAAAGGGAAGGACAACAGTAACAGTATCACTAGCACTAGCCCCAATGACGAGGGCAAAGGCAAGCGTAGGGGAAAAGGGAAGGGCCTAGGGCAGTGACAGAGGATTGACCATGTCCATGTAATAGTCACTATCCTCGCCGTTGCCTGTTAGCCATAATGTGCATTGAAAACACTTATGTTCCACGATTCCGTCGAACCCCTCTCCTGCCGCCAGTGCCCGTCAGACGAGCTCAATGAAACAGTGTAAACACTCCTGCGGCATTCAGGATCCTGTATGGAGTTTGTTGAATTCACATTTTCGTTGAGTTATTACTACCACCATGCCGCTTGCTCAAAATGAAGACCAGCTCAAACGCCAGCTTTAGTAGCAAAACGGAGGGTTCTGGTATCCGATACAGAGATTCTACACAACTTGAAGCTTGTTACCCAATATACTGACACGAGTCAGCAAGGAAATACAACTTCAATCTAAGCACGCACCTAGACCTAGGCGCGTAAAATGCCTCGCTACCCCCCGAGATCTTTGATGTCCATCATCACAACCCTTGTCGAAAGAGTCAGGAATGCAGCGTGAAAGATAGCGGAGCAAACCTTGCGTTTCGCCAAAATCCCCCAATACCTGTACCTGTACGATAGCCTTATGTCCGAAACTATAGCTTGTTGCGGAGAACGAGCGGCATGAGAATAATCGCGCGAGCCGTATGAAAATGTCGAAGTAGGCGTCGGTGACGCTTTTTCTCCAGCTTGAAGTAATGCCATTGTGCGGAAGCCGCTCAAGCGGTAATGCCGAGGAAGCTGATAGTCTGGTAGCTATGCGCCGAAAGGTGGTGTAAAAATGAAGGTTCAAAGCGATAACCTATCATTCGTTGCCTAACCACGAAGTATGTCAGTGCGACCATAAGTAATAAGGACGAGACACACGTTGTGCAAGTCCCGCCAGAGGAACTCAAAAGATGCCGGAGGGAAAGGGATTGCTTTTTCGAAATGTTTGTAGTTCATTAGGATTCTAGGAAAACTATGCATTCATTTCCTGGGTCTGCCCATACCGAAATGCAAACTTCAGAGGGACGAGAGGTGATGTCTCCTCCGCCTTTTCTCGCAATAGCGTTCCAATCTTAAACCCGACAACCGAGGGTCAGTCTTCCGGAATTGACATCTGGCCACTCGCCAATAACGACCACCCATCGTGTCATTATTCCATGACGAAGTGGTCATCAAATATGTCGAGTAGCACGTCGATACAGTCAGAGATGCTGTCGAGGCTCCAGAAAGCAATAAATTTGCTCGACCAAGGGAGGGTGGCTGCAATATCCGATACGACAGACCAAACAGACTCCCCCGATGATTCTCCCGCCGTCGATGGCTCGGGAGACGGTATAAACACGAGCATTAGGTTGTATTCTTGCACGGTATGCAGCTGCACTGCCGTTTGTTTACACCACTTCAGCAAAAAAAAAAAGCCGCGGATGGGGGTGGAAAAATCATCAGCAAGATCGTGCCCAACGACGACCTTGTCTCGCAAAACCACGGGCGGTAAAAGTTGTGTGGGGGCGTTATATGTCTGCGCAGACTGAGGTCTAGGCGATTGGCCCTGCGACGGTGGGTATGTCGAGTTATGAGCCCGCCTGCTCAGGCGCGAAAGCGTGACGTCGACGGTGATAGGTTATGGTCGGGAAAAACAACGCGAAAAGGCGGTCGTGGTCAGGAATGTGAAGTCGGAAAGAAGTTATATGGGTAGGAATAGGTTGTTAGAACGTTTAGGGCATACTCGGTGAGTTCGGCTAATATCTCTTGGAGAGGTGTGCAGTAACAAAGAGTCGAAGCTCCAGTTCATGGACAGAATGAGCTGCCATCGAGCATGGCGAGGATAGGAGAGTGGGCGTGTGGCCGAGTATAGTGTAGGATGTTGTCGTCGTCAGAGAATTTCGAAATGAGTGCCGTTGGGGTCCGCATTGTGGAGGGAGATAGAAAGCGCCATGAGCGGGTCCAGTTTTGTCTTCATTTGATGCCGAATCACGCATCTGGGCGACGGAGAAAGAGCAGCCGCGGTAGCATATCCATTGCTTAATTGTATTCCTTGCGCCAACCGTCGAGCTCGAAACGATCCCACCCCATAGCAACCGCTCCCCGAGTATTCAAAGAGACCAACAACGAGGGAATATCGCTCTTTCATTGCCGCAGGAAACTACTAAGCGTCTGAGTTTCGTCAATCTGAGAAACACTCTTCGAGAAATGGCGGACACGCACCATAATCATGCCACATATCTAGTCTCTCTATCTCATCCGTCGACGTGCCTTGCCCTCCTCGCCGTCTTGCTTGCATTGTGGTTGAGTGTGTGGATAATTTGCAAGGTGGAAGTTGGGAGCACGAAGGTTAGGTCACGCCTCTCTCAGCTTTCTCTGTACAACGTCGTCAAGTCTGACATTCGGTTAGGTTTTAGTTTGTATCCTGTCGACATACCCAGATACTGTCGACATCACGAAGGCTGCAACCCGCTGTTCTGTTGCAGCTACCAAGTGCACTTGAAATTGAAAGTCGGCAACGATGATCATCCTCCCAACTCTTTCTTTTCCTCACCACGCCTTCCCACATCTAGCCTCGCAGCACGCTTTTGTATCCCATCTCGTTGACAAGTCCAAGTTCCACAATGAAAACGAGTACAACGGCCGACGATACTTACCAAGACCCTGACTGCTCTTATACGGAGAATACCAACTGCTAGTTTGGTGGTGAGACACGGTCCTACAGGCGAGTGAATGTGTTTTCTGTGGTAATATGAAGCTGATATGGCTACTCTAGTCTGTCGTCACTCTAGGAGAGTTGTTCTCATTCGAGCAACTTTTCTACCAATAGAGCGGAGTATTGCAGTGCGTGCCTGGCCTCATGTGGAATAACGTCTTTCGCTTACTTTCTGCTTGCAGCTTTAGCTCACAAAAATAAGACAAGAATCTTGGTTGGTGGTCCAGGAATTCACGCTCTCCTCGAGCGAGGAATTGTGTAGAGGTCCCAGAATATGTGAGTTATCGCCAGCATCCCTATTTTGACCACTGACTTCATTGTACTAGCTTGCTTCTCGAGGAAGTGAAACAAGATAGTCATCCGAGATAAGCCGAGCGAAATGTTTATAGCTTTCGCCTTCAATAAAGAGTTCTGAGCGGGTCGCCGTATCCACCGCAGCCACGCCTTATTATCCACCAACTTCAAATCCCTCGTCAAATTTTCTGTTTGAGCTACCATTCGTCCTCCTCTCGTCATTGTGCTCATGGCTGTCCTCCTCCTCACTCTCTTCATTTCCCTGTTCCTCTTCATAATCATCGTTACCTCCGTTCCCCTCTCTATCTTCTCCGCTGGTTTCCTCGTCCTCGCTACTGTCGTCGTCGCAGTTGCAGTCGCCATCTTCAGAATCAGAACACTCAAACGCTGTAGGAGGATTGTCGCCAAACTCGACGCGGCCTACGTTGTACAAATATGCCTGAAGTACACCCGCCACCGTTACACGCGCGCCCCGCTCGCGGCAATATGCCGTTCCGGTTTTGATTGTCTCATCCAGGCTCAAGAGGCCTTTCCTGGTGGAGTTACCATCAATCTGTGATCATCATACGGGCGCGCACCTTTCTGCCTCGTCCCAGCGCTCGTCGTCGTGGGGCACGCGGCGGTTGAAACCATTGAAGATGCCAAGCATGCCACTCAAGACTTCTTCGCAGTCCAGTGCTTCGGTAGTGGTGGTCAGACAGATGGAGGATACTTCGGAGGGTTACTTACTTTCTTCTCCCAGTTCGAGGCCAATGGGTTGTAGGACTTGGTTTATGGCGTTAATCGGCAGGGAGATTGGCTCCTGCAGGCCAAGCATGCCACGCAAGACATCTGGGCGTTTCAGCGCTGTGGTGGTGGTCGTCAGACAGAGAGAGTATATTTTGGAGGATTACTCACTTTCTTCAAGTTCTTCAAGATGCAGCTGGAGGCCGAGGGGTTGTAGGCCTCGGTTGATGTCTTCAATCGGCAGGTAGATTGGGTCCTGCTCGTACGGCGCTTGGTTTCGGGCCTCCATCTTTGGGTAACTTGGGTCTGGTTCCGACGCGTGTAAATACTGTTCTGACAACTATAGGCAGGCGCAGCGTGTCCTCGCAACGTGTCGGAAGAAGTCAAGCGTGCCATTCATCTGGCATTGCATGAATGGGCGATCCAGGGCTACGGCGGACAGAGTGGTCAGCGATTGTGACTCCAATAGCTATAGCGTGGCAGTGGGTTTCTCAGGTGAAGGTCAAAGATGAGACGAGTGGTCCAGCGAGCTTTTCGTGCGTCGTTCGGGATGAGGCCAAACATTGAGGCTCCTTGAAACAACAGTGTAAGTTGCAGCCACCATCAAGTGACTTCTCCGGCAGAAAACGTGTTCGATCTTGTTCTCATACCCACACGCGGGCTGTGTCCACAGACGGAGACGCTATTTAACGGCGCCAAGTCTCGAGGAGTGCCTGCAAGTTCCCACCAGTTCAGATGCCATCCTACAAGATAATTGTAGTAACCTACGACGTCGATATGCGTGAGATTTGCTCCTTGCTTCAATGATCCATTTATCTAATCACCGTAGTAGCACTGGATCGAGACGAGCTGATGGAGCGCTGGGACTGGAGGCTCCTCAGTTTCTACCGACGCGTTCCCCTTAAGGATGATCCACGTCGTGCCGAGGCAGAACTGTGTGTCACTCCCTTCGCCCGCACAGAACCGCTCTAACATCGACCAGAACAGGGTTGCTAGACAGTCTCGATAGAGTCATAGATTCGGGAATAGCTTTCTGTCGCCTCCACAGCATACCCATCAACGCTGATGGCATAATGCACGCTTTGGAGCGTATGCTCTCCGACATCGAGCGCGATGGCGCTGAGATTGATTACGACTCTGGCCCGGAGGAAAGCCAAGGCGAGGCCGAGGCCAGAAACGAGGAGCCTGAGGAGAGTTAGCCATCAACTTGAACCATAGAAAACACAGTTACTTAGTACAACTGTGTCGCATAACAGTACTAACCAAACTGTCAGCTGGTAATGTTCGGATTTGAATCAGCCAGGTTTTTGCTCCCGTTGTGCAGGTCTCTGTGCGGACTGACTCCGACTGAGTAGTGTCCAGGTCCGAGTCCACTGGCAATGACTCCACATGGCTTTCGAAGGGGGGCGGAAGGCCGTCGTAAGCCTGAGTAGAGGACTCGGAGGCGATTCGCGAAAGAGGAAGCTAATGGCGATGATTGACTGTAGATCTAGACAAACAGTCACAAACTTGGATGTCACGGCCGATTATTCTTGCTGAGCTGAATAGAGGCACGCGAAAATCACTCGGGCGAGCAGAGCGCCAGTGCTCTCGTCTCGTCTCATACTCCCGCATCAATGGAAAGCGCACAATATTTTTCGATTTATATCAATTATATGCCGAAAGCGATCGTGAAGAAACGACAAAGCTGACCTGTCTAGTGCGGTTGCGAAAGAGGCATGAAATGCTAGCCAAGGCAGAACCCAACGCCCTTCCGCCCCATATAAATGGAAGGTATAGTATGCGCAGGCGCAACAAAACAGGTTATCGAGGCCGTGTCGCTGTCAAGACATTTTTCGAACGTGTGGTTCGCGGCGTTGTAGAGAGGACAAGGTCCAAGATGAGACGAGTGGACGACGGGTTTGTCATGGGTCATTAGACAAGGCCAAATTATTGAGGCTCCTTGAAACACCAGTGTGAGTTGCGGCCACCGTAAAGTGACTTCTCTGGTAGAAAACGTGCTCGATCTTGTCATCGAGCTTCTCATACCCACGCGCGGGCTGTGTCTACAGACGGAGACGCTATTTAACGAAGCCGGTCTCGAGGAGTGCCTGTGAGTTGCCCGCTAGTGCAGACTCGGATGCAGTCCTCCGAGTCTAAGATGATGATAGTGACCTTCGACAATGACAAGCGTAAGATGCATTCATTCCTTTGCTGCAACGACCAACCCAATTACTGCAGCACTGGACCGCGAGGAGCTGATGATTGGTTGGCAGAGCAGGCTTTTCAGGTTCAACCTCCGTGTTCCCCCTGTGGATCCACGTCGTACCGCTGCACAAAAGTGCGCCACCATCGTTTGCACACAAGCGCCCTAACGTTTACTAGAGCAGGCTTTCTAGACGACCTCGACAAGGTCATAGAAGCCGGAACGGCGTGGTGTCGTTACTACGGTGTTTCCGTCAGCGAGCGGGGCATTCTCGAGGCATTGGAAGAGAACCTGTCGGGGATTGAGCTCGATGGCGGCCGGAGTGTCGTCATGGCCAGGCAAAGCACAAGCATGGATGGAAGTGAAGGCAAGGCCAAGGGTGCGGATGAGGAGAGTTAGGCAAAGAAGGGATATATTTGTGCCTTCGAATTACGGTGTGTAAAGCATAGACATCGTACTGATTCCCGTAGAAAATCACACCCAGATTTCTGCGGACCGCGGTGGAACTGTTTGGCCGGTCAAGCTGGGGAATAGATATCGAAAGCACTTGAAGACGCACTTTGACCTTTCCAATATCCACCGTCACAACGGCTTCCTAAGCCGTGATGTTTTCTGCTTGCCGCGCATGCCTGGTCTCGTAACTCCCGTTGTCAAAGAGGGGCTGTCGTCGACGGTGTGGGGATGGCAATTGTGCGCGCGAGACGAAGCTGTATCGAGTGGAAGAGGCTAGAAGGATATGTGTGGGCAAAGACATTCAATAAGCAAAGCTTTGAATACACGTCTGAGTTCATCGACATTCAAGTTTCTTCTGCCTCTGTCGCCGACTCGGATACGTCCTTCTCAGTAGTCTAGAGTTGGCTTGGGGACCTGTTTGACAATGCGTGGATGGTGAAAGGACGGCATCTAGGCATTCTAAGGCGCGGCATTGACCCGGGGTGGTGGAGATGAAGAACGGGTGATCACGTGTGACTCGCGACGATCTTCATTGACAAGAACCAGCAACACGATTTGAAGCACAACTCTCTGGCGGTGATCATCTACATATCGAGCAGCTCTGTCCCTGGGTGCTTCAGCCCCTCTGTAAGTCATAATTTCTGCCTACGCATCCGAGTATTCACCGCTTGACCGTCAAGATCAGGATCTTTGCAATGTCTGGCCACGATGCTGCCCAGGCGCTCTCGTTCTTCCATGCCCCTCGCCGACACGACCATCCTATTGATAGCGCTACCATCTCTCAGCTCCGAGACGAGGCAGAGCAAGTCAAAAAGACGATCCATCAACTCGAAACCCAGCTACAAATGCTCGCAGACCATCTTGAAGCGCTCCAGGACGACCTATCAGCCGTGGTCTACCCGATCAACACTCTTCCTGCCGAAGTTCTCTGCCACATTTTTGCGGCAGCAGTGTCGTCCTCACCTTCCATCGACGTTAACCGCACGCTGCTACAAATTACCACTGTCTGTCAACGCTGGCGGCGCACTGCCATCGCAGACCCGCACCTCTGGACACGCATTTCCTACTCAATCGACGAGGACCAGCGGGACTTTCTTTCCGAGCACTTCTTGCGGCGCGCCAGAGCACTGCCTATTGTGTTCTCAATTCCCGCAGATGACCTGAGCGGATACAAGCTTCCGCGGTGCATATTCGATTCTGCTTCACAATGGGAGGAAGCATCCCTGTCCAGCATTAAGTGGCCTTTCAACTGGGCGACTCCCAATTCAGACACGCCGAACGCACAGCTCGACTTTCCGCTGCTGACCAAGTTCTCGTTTGATGTCTGGAGCAAAACCGACACGGATGAAAACCCCGTCTTCATGAATGCCCCAAGTCTCCGAGAGCTGTCCATCAGCATTCACCGCCTTGTTTTACCGCTTTCATTCCCTGCCCATCAACTGCGAAAACTGACGATCCTTCGTCCAGCCACGTACGCTGAAGTCCTCGCTCTCCTTACTCATCAGGAAGCGCTGGAGGAGCTGTCGCTCCCTGCACTCTTCGAAGAGACAGTTATATCAGACTCGACCTTACAACTGCCCCGCTTGTCAACCTTGTCCCTGGTGGCCGGCGCCCGCACTTCCATCCTCGACCACCTCCGCTTGCCCGCCCTAACAACTCTCCACCTCTCCGACCTCGAAAGCATTGTCGTCGAGTCCTCCATCGACCCATGTATCCGGCGGTCCGCAGCGACTGTAACCTCGCTGTCTCTATTCACACCCACAGATTACGTGGGCTTCCGCGCTCTTTCCACCTCATACATGGCCCACCAAGTCAAACATCTGACCGTAACCGCATTCCCCATGCCCTACGACGAGGAACGGAAGTGCTCCGCGACTCTCGCCGACTTGAGCCTCCTCTCCAGCCTCGAATCCTTCACCCTGGTCATTCCTCCCCCCGTGCCAGCCCCGGTCAACATCCGTCCGTTCCTGGATGGAATCGCCATGCGCGCTGCGAAAATGTGTCCCGATGGTGTCCAGCGCCAAATAAAGCTCGCGCGCCTTGTCATCGAGTTTGCGCCGTATGGTATTCCGCACGAGGAGGACATTCGCGCCTTGCAGCATCTGCAAAAAACATTCGGTGTCGAAATTTCAATGCCGAACGGCCATCCAATGCGGAAATCATGGAGAAAGACGAGGGTGATGAACACTTGAGTGTTTTCTTTTGTAGAACATTATATAACAAGGCTTCAGTTCTTAGTTCATAGACAGAGATAAGTATATGAACATGAGCAAGTAGTGGTTTCGGGCCTCCATCTTTGGGTAACTTGGGTCTGGTTCCGACGCGTGTAAATACTGTTCTGACGACTATAGGCAGGCGCAGCGTGTCCTCGCAACGTGTCGGAAGAAGTCAAGCGTGCCATTCATCTGGCATTGCATGAATGGGCGATCCAGGGCTACGGCGGACAGAGTGGTCAGCGATTGTGACTCCAATAGCGTGGCAGTGGGTTTCTCAGGTGAAGGTCAAAGATGAGACGAGTGGTCCAGCGAACTTTTCATGGGTTGTTCGAGATGAGGCCAAACATTGAGGCTCCTTGAAACACCAGTGTAAGTTGCGGCCACCATCAAGTGACTTCTCTGGCAGAAAACGTGTTCGATCTTGTTCTCATACCTACAGCCTGGCACGCGGGTTGTGTCCACAGACGGAGACGCTATTTAACAGCACCAGTCTCAAGGAGTGCCTGCAAGTTCCCACCAGTTCAGATGCCATCCTACAAGATTATAGTAACCTATGACACCGATGAACGTGAGATTCCGAGTCGCTCCTTGCTTCAATGATTTATTTATCTAATCACCGTAGCACTGGACCGAGACGAGCTGATGGAGCGCTGGGACTGGAGGCTGCTCAGTTTCAACAGACGCGTTCCTCTCAAGGATGATCCACGTCGGGCCGAGGCCGAACAGTGTGTCACTCTATTCGCCCGCACAGAACCGCTCTAACATTGACCAGAACAGGATTGCTAACCAGTCTCGATAAAGTCATCGAGTTGGGAATGGATTTCTGTCGCGAGAACAACATACCCATCAATGCTAATGGGATAATGCACGCTTTAGAGCGTATGCTCTCCGACATCGAGCGCGATGGCGCTGAGATTGATGACGATGGCCCGGAGGAAAGCCAAGGCGAGGCCGAGGCCAAGGACGAGGAGGAAAGCCAAAGCAAGGCCGAGGCCAGAAACGAGGAGCCTGAGGAGAGTTAGCCATCAACTTGAACCATAGAAAACACAGTTACTTAGTACAACCATGCCGCATAACAGTAACCAAACTGTGAGCTGGTAATGTTCGGATTTGAATCAGCCAGGTTTTTGGTACCGTTGTGCAGGTCTCTGTGCGGTTGGAGTGAGTCGTGTCCAGGTCCGAGTCCACTGGTAATGACTCCACATGGCTTTCGAAGGGGGCGGAAGGCCGTCGTAAGTAGAGGAGGCGAAAGAGGAAGCTAATGGCGATGATTGACTGTAGACAAACTTGGATGTCACGGCCGATTATTCTTGCTGAGCTGGATAGAGGCACGCGAAAATCCCTCGGGAGAGCAGAGCGCCAGTGCTCTCGTCTCATCTCATACTCCCGCATCAATGGGAACTTCTATCTGGCCGCGCAAAATATTTTTCGATTGATATGCCGAAAGCGATCGTGAAGAAACAACAAAGCTGACCTGTCTAGTGCCGTTGCGAAAGAGGCATGTAAGGTCCAGCTTGCTTCCCTTAGCTGTCACGCTAACCAAGGCGGAACCCATCGCCGTTCTCCTCAGGTTCAACCTCCGTGTACCCCCCTGTGGATGAACGGCGGACCACGGCACAAAATTGCGCCACCACCGTTCACACAAAACTGCTTTAACGTTTACTAGAGCAGGATTTCTAGACGACCTCCGAGTCGACAAGGTCATAGAAGCCGGAACGGTGTGGTGTCAAACGATGACCTTATTGGCCGAAACGTGCCGAGAAAAGAATTAGGAGTGAGGGTGGTAGTGTTTTGTCAAAGTAGACATGGCTTTTAGAGCTCCACACAATGTATCCACAATACAAGATTCGTCTACAAGCCTGCTGTGGCTGAGAAAACGTGCTCGACGAAGGTCTTGCACTTCGAATAGGACGGTCCAAAGAGTTAATGAGAGTGAGAATGCTGCGAGGAACATGGAAATATGGCAGCGGGAGCCGCAGCTGTTGTTCCGAGAGAAATACATCGAGATTTTCCAAATGGCCCTTGGTTCACGTGACTTGTCATTTTGGGACGCGCTTTCGATTGAATCGCGCAGGCGTCGACGAGAAAAATAGTGAGTTGAATGTGCATGGTGGAAAGGTCACGAGGCGGCGGCGGCAGTAGCCTCCTCAAGTTCGGACAGCAATATTAATATCGGGACCAAGTATGTGTCGCACCAGCAGAAACATTGAAGACCGCGGCATATCGGCCTTTGAAAACGGAGGAATGGTATGAGAATGATGGGATTGAACTTGCGTCGTGGGGTATCCTTGTCAATGAAGCAGAGTGCGCTCTTGAATCTGGGCGGGCGTTGGATATCTGACGCGGTGGATGTATTGACGAGTATATCGACAGTGTAGATACGCGTTGGTAATATGTTTGCCAATCTGCCCACTGGTGGTTAGCTTTGGAATCCTCAGAGCACGTAACTCAGTGCCTACCAGATTTCTCGTTTCTCTTTCGCACACTCTATAACCAAATCGTACTCTGTCCTTTTGATTCCCCCGACACGTTCTGTGCAGGCCCACCGCTCCAGCGTAGTATACCGCAAGGCTCTTGGTCGTTTCCATTGTCGTAGCAGAGTCGATGGCGAAGATGCTTGGTCTCGGGTGATGGAGGACGACAAGGTCGAAGTGGGCGTAAAACGAGAGAGGTGTCGAAGACATGTTCGAAGCCCGACGATAGCTGGGCATGAATGGTGAAGAAGAGTCCTGGTGAACGGGAGAGGGACTGTTGGCGGAAGGAGGCCGGGCTCTGAAAGCATTCGCAGATGAAGCTGGAGGTGCGTCGTACGGAAGTTATTTTCGGTTGGGAAGGGGAGGGAAGAGACCACGATGACATGATCTTGCAGAATACTCGCTTCCGAATGCAAGTGATGTAACAACCGTGTGGGGAATAAAAGCCCTTATTTCAAGCGCAACCAGTTGACGATGGAGAAGACCCGCTAATGTGAGTCATTTCAGCAGTTGTAGTCAGAACGGACAAGACAAAACACGCACGATTGTTGAAACCGAACCATGGGATGCAATGGTGGAGCCTCAAAACGGGTTGCGAAAGCCATTCTCCCTCCGTTGGCACTTGCGTCTTGCTGCGAAAAGAGCATGAATGCCAGCAAATTTAACGAGTTTGAGGTTGGTGAATAATATGACGAGGAAAGATTTCGAGGAAGCGACGTTGTGTGGTGGACGCTCAATCGTCTTCACCAGTGGTGCTTGTCTCGTGAGAGGGTTGAGGTGCTTGGGCCTATCGAGGGTGACGAGCGAGCTGGAGGTGAAATACGCACGATTGTTGAAACCGAACCATGGGATGCAATGGTGGAGCCTCAAAACGGGTTGCGAAACCCATGCTCCCTCCGTTGGCACTTGCGTCATAACCGGAGAAGAGCATGAATGCCAGCGAGAGTTTGAGGTTGGTGAATAATGTGAGGAAAGACTTCGAGGAAGCGACGTTGTGCGGTGGACGTTCAATCGTCTTCACTAATGGTGCTTGTCTCGTGAGAGGGTTGAGGTGCTTTGGCTTATCGAGGGTGACGAGCGAGCTGGAGGTGAAATACGGCAGGTTTGGCTCCGGAGATTGCAATATCGTCTGGAAGAGCCAACGCTCTGCAACGTTAAATACCTGGAAATTTTAGTCGAGATCTCCAAAGAGGCCGGATGACGCACCGAGAAAAACGAGATTCACTTCCCTCCATCGAAGGCTTGTATGAGTTGAAGACCCCAACTACCAGGTGAGCATGTTTTCCAGAGACGAGGACGGCGCCGATTCGGTCAGACTACTATGAATTACTGCCATATCAGCTGCGTTGCCCCATAAAACACATTTGCTTACCCACAGAACCGTGTCGCGTCTCCAGACTAGTAGCTTGCATAATCAGCCAGGTTTTTGGTGCCGCTGGCCGTTATGCCCCTCTCTAATTATTACAGAACTTCGGATTGTAGATGAGTGCGGTTAGACTGAGTCGTGTCGGGGTCGCGTGTAGGGGTAAGGGAAGGCGGGTGGGTGGCTCCTCGTGGCTTTCGAAGGCTTGGAAGGCCGGTAGAGGATTGGTAGAGGATTCAGGAAGCTGATGGTGATGGTTGACTGCAAACCAAATCTTGCTCCGAACTTGAATGTCACGACCAATAATTCCTGCGGAACTCATCCAAGTCATGCTCGAGAACCTGTAGAGCGAGCGGAATGCTCTCGTCTCATGCTCCCTCGTCAATGAGGGCTTCTATCCAGCCGCGCAAAGCGGCGGTGGAACAGGACAAACGAGTTTTCAGGTTTGCGACGGCTCATGAAGGCATTACTTGTGTATACTTGCACAAATGAAGGCTCTACTAAGCGATCTTCACAAGTTGCATTCGATGATCACTCAGCGTTCGTCTGCAGAATCATTTTGTCCTCAGCTCTGCGGCTGTCCGAGTCCGATTCAGAGTTATCGCCCTCGCGCTCCGAATGTGGATCTGGCCTTGCCCTCGCTCTCCGAGTCCGAGTCTGGGCCGCCACTAGTATTCCACTCGCTCTCGGTGTGGCTGTGGTCTCTACACTGCGTTTTCTCTCCCTCTTCCGAGGCCTCGCTCTCGTTATCGGACAACTTCTCGCGGTTCGGAAACTGCACCATCATCAGCATCTCCCTGTGCACATCGATCATTGCCGCTAGTTCCTTCCAAGGCAGAAAGCCACTCCCACTTCAATGAACTCGTCGGCGCTGCCCGCAAGTCGTTTACTGGTGGATGTAACAGCCGCTCGTACACCAGGCTGCCAGCTAGCAATGTGATCCACACCTTTTTGCCTCTTCTTGTCGCGGGTCCTCGCCAGACACTTGGGAGTCGAAATCTTGCAACGTTTCTTTCATGCCTTTATTCATAATCGCAAGGTACAGTTCTGCTTTGTTCACAGAGATCGGGAACGACGATGAGTGCTTCTTACCTAGCGCTCGCACCTCGACTGGATTGTGAAGGTTTTGCAACACTGTGGACTCCATCTGCAGGTACAGCCTCAATTGGAACGAAGGCTCGAAATTGCACCGATCGGTCCGATCCTTATCAAGGGCCCCGCTTCGAATGCCCACGCGCAGGCTGTGTCCACAGACAGAGAAGCTATTTAATGGCGCCAGTCTCAAGGAGTGCCTGCAAGTTACCCGCCAGTCCGGATGCCGTCCCACTGGACTATTATAATCTACGACGACGATAGTCGTGAGATGCGCTCCTTGCTTCCATAATCTACTTATCTGATCACCGCAGCACTGGACCGCGAGGAGCTATGGCATCGATGGCAAGGGAGGCTTCGCAAGTTCTACAGACGTGTTCCCCTCGACGATCCACGTTATACAGAGGCGAAACAGTGTGTCACTCCATTCGCCCGCACAGAACGGCTCTAACGAGTCGACCAGAACAGGATTGCTAACCAGTCTCGATACAGTCATCGAGTTGGGAACAGCGTTCTGCCGCACCCACGACATGCACAGCACCGAGGAGGGCATCTTCCAGGCGCTGGAGCACATGCTCACCGACATCGAGGGCAATGGCGTCGCGGGTCCTCATGCTATCGATCTTCAGCTTCGAATCGCCATAGACACAGGTAACAAGGGCCAGCATGCGGAGGGAAGTCAAGGCGAGGCCAAGGCTGAGGGGGAGCAGGAGAGTTAGGAATAGACCACGAATGCATATTTTTGCAGTATACTTGCTTTGGTAACTTCAAAAGTTTCAACCATACTTTCCTTCATCGAAGACTGATGAATTAAAGACCCGTCCGCCGGACGAGCATGTTATCCAGAAACGAAGAGGGCGCCGATTCAGCCAGACTATGAAGTAGCCATCAGCTCCGGGTCGCGCCATAAAGTGACTACTTCTCTGGCAGAAAACATGTTCGATCTTGTCATCCAGCTTCTCATACCCACGCGCAGTGTGTCCACAGACAGAGAAGCTATTTAACGGCGCCAGTCTCAAGCTTAAGGAGTGCCTGCAAGTTGCCCACCAGTTCAGATGCCGTCCGACAGGACTATAATGGGGGGAGCTTGCGACCCCCATTTCTGATATAGGGTACCGTTTCCCGTTGATGTCGTAACCTGCGCGAAAAACCTCCTTGGATATATTAGTCAGCGCTTGGTAAGCAGCCCGCGCGCGCAGCCAAACGCGCGAGCGTTTGTCACCTGTGTGTGACCTCTGTCATCCGGGTGATTTCGGCTGATCTCCCGTGTCACCTTTGACACGTTGACAGCACATGCTGTTTGCAACGCTTTTCAGGCAGATTGGCTTGATATAGTTAGCTCAGATGAATGATAATGCTCGCAGCTGGCCACTTAAGACTGTTTCTTGTACTTGCTTCTTCCCTTTCCCTTCTCCCTCTCTGTTCTGGGTATTGTCCTTAGAATCCCTTATAAATTTTTGTTTAGACTAAAATAATAGTCAGGGCTGATGCAACTTCCAAGTGTCTATAGTATTCTGCTAGTGATATTCATTTGGCTCCTGATGTATCTTTTACTTTAAAGTTTCTATTCAGACAATAATAACTATATAGGACTACTCCTCCAAATACTCCTCAGCGCCAAAGAATAGCTGCTCAACATGCAGAAAGACAGGGTCGTGTTCTTGATAGCCCACATATACGCAGGCAACCTCAAGCTGGCCCTAGCAGACCAAATTTAGTACAGGTTCCCTATCATGGCAGAAATCTTAGCCTCTCTCAAGAGGTAGCTAGACAGCTAGCTGCTCTAGGTCTTCAAAATAATCAAGTTGCTGCTGATGTCTTTCAGCAAGGTCATGCAGATAATCAATACATGGGCCTTCCTGTCAATCAACTGCAACAATTGGCTCAACAGTTATAGCCAGGTTTGGTTTTTAAAAATACAAAAGAATAAAATTAAAATTAAATATGTTTAGTTCCACAAGCAGATGATGATGATATTGAAATGCAAAGTCCACCACAATCTCCTACTTTAGGACTTCAACAACTACCACAGGCCCAGCTACAGCCACAGGCTCAACCACAGGCTCAACCACAGGTGCAACCACAGGTTCAGCTACAACACCAACCTCAACCACAGGTTCAACCACAGGCTCAGCTACAAGACCAACCACAGGTCCAGCCACAGGCTCAGAATCAAGTACAACCTCAAATTCTTGCTGCACCTGATGAAACTACTAGAAGAGCTAGAGATCCACATCCAGATAATGAAAATTTGCTCTATTGTACCACAGGAAAGCATTATCAACCCTCTGCTGATTTTGGGAATTTCCAAACTTGTGCACATTGTCGTGCCCGTCAGCGTGCATATAGAGAACAGAGAAGAGGAGTACAACAGATGCAAGCAGCACAACAGGAACTTGCTCAGCAGGTAAATCCACAGATAGCAGACCCAGTTGCTGTGAATCAGAATCAAGATATAGATCCTCTAGATCAACTTGCTATATCTGCTGAGGATTGTGCTTTGCTTAAAAATGTCCGTAAAAAAATAATGGATATTCAATTGGAGTCTTGTAACTCCTGCCATGAGAAGTGGTTTGATCTACAGGTTAAAGATGGAAAATGCAAACAATGTCAAAAGTCTGACAAACTCTGTGATGGTAACAAGATGGATCCTGGAATTGCTCCTCTTTTACCTCCTTTAACCCAGATGGAGGAAATTTTGATTTCACCTGTACATGCCCTTACCCAAGTATGGCAGATTCATGGAGGCCAATATGCTTATCGTGGGCATATCTGTAACTTTCTACGAGATACTGCAGTATTTCACAATAAAGTTCCTCTTCTACCAGAGGAATGTGAAATTGTTATTTTTCGTCGTCAATCTGCAGCTAACCAGGAAACTGTCAATGAGGACTTTTGTGTCCGAAAGGCAGTTTTATATCAGTGGTTGTCTTTTTTGGAACAGCATCATCCAACCTTTCGATCACGGCAGGTTGAAATAGATTGGAACCGGCTAAACACCTTTGCTGCTGATGCAAATGTTATGAATCAGCTTCAAAATGTGACAGTAGAAAATCTACAGCCAAATTTGGATCAAGGCCCTCCTCAACAGAATGCAGAAAATCCAGGTGTACCACTGTTTTCTGGAGGTTTTGCACCAAATATTCGTTCTGGCTTAACAGAGTTTGAGCAACTTGCTGCAGCTGCTACTGGGAATAATCCTGAGATTATTTTGACTTTACCTCCCGTGCGTGGTACTCCAATAAATGAGAACAGTGCACATCCTATAGCTATTGATACATTTCCTACTCTTTTCCCCTTTGGACAAGCAGATTTCAAAGAAACTCGTCATAAGAATGTAACAATGGAAGAATGGGCAGCACATCTACTTCGCTATCAAGATGGAAGATTTGCAAGGTATCCCAGGTTTCGTTACTGGGCATTAAATACAATTTTTCGACAAAAGAGCAAAGAGAGCATCAAAGTGGTATGCTCATAGTCATGCAGAAGATGGCTCATTATCTGTTGAAGAAATCAGAGAATTGATTGAGGGGAATAATGCAGATCATCTAGCTCAGCGTGTTTCTAGGTCAGCTGCACCAATTGAAGGGTCTCGACCATTCTGGTCAAGTAAACGTAAAGATTTAACTGCTCAAATACGGGATATTGGCTGTCCTAGTGTTTTTTTTCACCTGCTTAGCTGCAGATATTCAATGGCCAGATTTACATCAACATATGCCTGGATGGAATCCCAATATAAATGATCCTGATATGTATAGGACCAGATGGAAGGACTTAAATGAGAATCCAGGTATGGTGTATTAATTATTCTGGATTACATAAACATACTAATCTTCTCTATAGCTATTGCAGCATATTATTTCCAGAAACGTTGGGAGGTTTACTTTGAGTATTTTATGAAAGTCAAGTTTCAGATCAAAGACTTTTGGTGGAGATATGAATGGCAGCATCGAGGAAGCAGTCATATACATGGTTTTCTTTGGTTTTCAGATGCTCCAGATGTAGAAAAACTGGATCTCAAAAAAGATAAAGATGTTCAAACATTCATCAATTATTGGGACCCATTAATATCTACCATGAATCCTGATCAGAAACACCCTCCAGCTGAAACTCATCCATCTGCACAACTTTTTGATACTCTTCAAGATACCAAGAGAGAATTAGCACAGCTCTTGAATCGTTTTCAAAGACATACCAAATGCGCTCCAGGATATTGTTTACGCAGGGACAAAAATACACATAAGGATTTTTGCCGGTTTCACTTTCCCAAACCTTTGAGAAATACAACAGGTTTACATACAGAACCAGGTCAAATGCATCCTGAGCTCCATCCAAGGAGAAATGATGAACTCCTAAATGCTCATCACATTGTTATGATTTTAGGATGGCGGGCTAATGTGGACTTTAGGCCTGTGCTCAATAAGAATGCAGTGATTGCTTATGTAGCAAAATATGCAAGTAAAGCAGAGTCTCAATCTAGCACTATGGCTGATATGCTTAAAAAAGCAGTTTCCTCTCTTAATGACTCTGATGCTACTCAAATTGCCTATCAGAAGATGTTGTCTGCTTTTGCTGCTGAGAGAGATATGTCTGCTCAAGAAACCTGTCACATTCTCTTAGACTGTCCTATGGTTAGATCATCAAGAGTAGTCAGAAATGTCAATGTATCAAAGCAAGAAGAAGATGTAGAGATTGACTTTGAAGGCAATACTGTTCGCAAAAAACTGGATTACGGCAGGCATACAGAACTAGGCTTACTGGCAATATATCTGCACAATTGAAAGAGGAGTTAGAGAAAACAACTTTCCTCCATTTCCTTCGGCACTGGACTGTCAATGGCAAAACTCTATCACGGCGAGGTGGCCGTTCTGCATTACCTTATGCATTAAATATCTGGCCTCGATTTATTCATGACACAGCTGATAAAAATGTCTATGAGAACTGGTGCTATGCTCATATGATTCTACATCATCCTTTTGTACAGGAAGCAGACTTGCTAAAAAAATCATGACAACTGGATTACTGCATATGAAACAGATTGTGTACCATTCAATCTCCCACATGGACATGATACCTTGCCTACAGCTGAGGAAGAAGATGAGGAAGAAGACCCAGATGCTGAATCAGACTCTGAGAGTATAGCACCTGATGATGATGATCCTCAAATGGCACAGTTTCAAGCAGATTGGATGCGTGAGGCTGGGTGTTGTCCAGGAGAAGTAACAACAACAGACTCATTACTGAAATCATTAGGCCTTCGTGAATTAGATATCAGTTACAACTGGGTGGAAAACTCACCTCCCATAGCTGATATCAAAGCTGCAACTGAATGATTGCCTGAACAGCTTAAACAATTCCCTAATGATACTATCCAGAATCTCCCTCCAGAGGATTATACAAAGTTGAAAGGGGAACAACAGCAACTTTTCCTTCAGGTTATGGCATATGTCAAAGCATTAAAAGCTGGGAAATCACCAGAGCCACTCAGAATCAATGTGGATGGTACTGCAGGGACTGGTAAATCAGTGCTTATTCGTGCTATCACTACTGCTTTGCGAGAGGAATATGCAGATGAGCTAGATGGTAAAGATCCTGTTATTCGAATGGCTCCTACCGGAATTGCTGCATTTGGAATCAGAGGATGGACAATCAATTTTGCACTTTCTATTCCAGTCACAAAAGATAGTAATTTTTCAGAATTAGCTCCTGCCTCTCTTCA